CTCCTAGTGTGCATTATACAATATGAAATTCTCAATCTCAATACAGAGACACAAATAGAGAGACAGAAGGAGAGATCTTCCATCCACTGGTTCACTCCTCAAATAGCCACAACAGCCTGGGCTGGGCCAGGCCAAAGACAGGAGCCTGAATTTTCTTCCAGGTCTCCCACACGGGTGCAGAGGCTTTTACTAAATCGTTAAAAGGGAGATGGACTGGATTTGGAACAGCCAGGACTTGATCTGGTGCAACATATGGAATGCCGGCACCACAAGTGGTGGCTTTACCCGCTGTACCACAGGCCTTCCCAGAGATTCTCAATCTTATTAGGTATTTTTGCTAAAAGCGTTGTAAATTAATCTACTCAAACCTACAGTATTTATTTTCAGTTTATAGGAAATACAGAAAATTAGTCAATGTTTCCATGAGGAAACAGACAATTAAGGCTGTGGAATATGGTACAAGAAAACTACCCTTTTCTCTTTAAAAAGTTAAATCATTTGAAAAAAAAAAAAACCTTTCTTGATTGTAAACAACTCGAAAAATACAGCAATCAAGCTCAATGTCTGAAACTCAATTGGATTCCGGATTTTTTAAAAGAATTAAAACATGTTTTGGGGACAATTTAGCATATTTGAATGTGAACTGAATATTACCTGCACTGTTCATTTCTTAGGTGCTATCATATCATGCTAATATAAAAGAATATCCTATTCTTACTAGAGGATGCATGATGAAGTATTTAAGGAGAAAAAACATGTCAGCTTCTGTCTTATAGAATAAACTATTTAAAAAAATGGAAAAAGAGGCTTAAAATGTTGTAAAACTAGGGGCCAGCACTGTGGTGTAGTGGGTAAAGACACAGCCTGCAGTGCCAGCATCCCATATGGGTACCGGTTCAAGTCCCAGCTATCCAGTTCTCTGCTATGTAGCTGAAAAAGCAGTAGAAGATGGCCCAAGTGCTTGGGTTCCTGCACCCACGTGGGAGACCTGAAAGAAATTCCTGGATCCAAACTTGGCCAGCTCTGGCTGTTGCAGCCATCTGGGGAGTGAACCAGTAGATGAAAGATCTCTCTCTCTCTCTCTCTCTCTCTGTGTGTGTGTGTGTGTCTCTCTCTCTTTCTCCCTCTATAATTATGCCTTTCAAATAAAGAAATCTTAAAAAAAAAAAAAAACTATAAACAACAAGTGTTTGGCCTAGCCATAAAGACATTTGCATCCCATATTGGAGTACCCATGTTCTACATGTGGTTCTGGCTCCTGAATCCAGCTTCCTACTAATAGGAACTCAGAGACAGTGATGATGACTCAAATAACTGGCTTCCAGCTGTCCACTGAAAGACCTACATTAAGTTACCAGCTGCTGGCTTCAGCTGGGACCTACCCAGTCCTTTCTATTGTGGCCATTGGGGAAGTAAACCTGTGGATGGTAACTCTTCTTTTTATCTGTCTCTGCCTCTCAATTAATTTTATATGTATAAAAATGCATCAAAACAAGTGAGCAGAAAAAAAAGCTACAAATGTCTCTACATTTGAAATTGATCTTACTTTTTCATGCTATTGTAAACTGAATCCTTTTCTTAATTTCCTTTTTTTAAAGACTTATTTATTTATTTGTAAATCAGAGTTACACAGAGAGAGAAGAGGCAGAGAGAGGTCTTCCATCTGCTGGTACACTCCCCAGTTGGCCACAATGGCTGGAGCTGTGACAATCCAAAGCCAGGAGTCAGGAGCTTCTTCTGGGTCTCCCACACAGGAGCAGGGGCCCAAGGACTTGGGCTATCCTACCACTTTCCCAGGCCATAGCAGAGAGCTGGATCAGAAGTAGAGCTGGAACTGGAGCTGGAGCTGGCGCCCATATGGGATGCTGGCACTGCAGGTGGTGGCTTTACTGTTTATGCCACAATGCTGACCCCCTTAATTTCCTTTTTAAAATCATCATTGTTACTGTATAGACTCACAAATGACATTGTTGATTCGTTGTTGTTGCTGTTGACAGAGTGAGAGGTCTTCCATCAGCTGGTTCAGTCCCCAAGTGGCTGCAATGGCTGGAGCTGTGCAGATCCGAAGCCAGGAACTAGCAGCTTCTTCAGGGTCTCCCACACGGATGCAAGGGCCCAAGCACTTGGGCCATCTTCTACTGCTTTTGTAGGCCATAAGCAGGGAGCAGGATTGGAAGAGGAACAGCCAGGACAGGAACCAGTGCCCATATGGGATGCTGGCATCACAGGTGGAGCCTTAGCCTACTACACCACAGCACCAGCCCCTGTTTTGATTTTTTGTATTTTGCAACTTTGCTGTATTTCTTAGATAAAGCTAAGGCTGAGAAATGATTTAGTATTTCTTTGTATTGTCATGTTACCCATGAATAGACATAGTTTAACATCTGCTTTTTAAATTTTTATGATTTTGTTTTTGTTTAATTGCTTTGGTGAGGGCTTCCATTTCTATACTGAGTAGAAGTGGTGAGAGCAAGCATCCTGCTGCACCTGACTACAGAAAAACTTTGTCTCATGGCGATGAGCACTTTAGATATGACCTTGTCGTGTAGGGAATGGTCAGGTGTCATGCAGAAGAAATTCCTTTCTATCCCTCCTTATTGAATGTAAACACCACCTGAACTTTGTTTAGTAAGACTTTACAATTGTGAAAATCTTCAGAAGGTGTACAAATTATTTTTCTTAAGTACAATAGTGTTAGGCTCATGGAAGAGTTATCCTTGGTGGGGGAGACAGTGGTGTGTACAACAGGTTAAGCTGCCACTTGAAACACTGGGAGCTACCAATGGAGCGCCGTTTCAAGTCCCAGATGCTCCATTTCTGATCCTGCTCCCTGCTAATGTGCCTCCGAAGGCGGCGGATAAAGACCCAAGAGTTTGGGTCCCAGCTACTCACGTAGGAGACCCAAGGGAGACCCTGGCTCCTGGGCTTTGCCTGGCCCAGCCTCGGCTGGTGTGGGCATATGGGAAGTGAACTAGTGGATAGTGGATAGAAGTTCTCTTTTCTCTCTCTCTCCTCTTTCTCAAGTCTGTCTTTCAAATAGAGATCTTAGGAGCCAGTGCTGTGGCTCACTTGGTTAATCCTCCGCCTGCAGTGCCAGCATCCCATATGGGCACCAGATTCTGTCCTGGTTGCTCCTCTTCCAGTCCGGCTCTCTGCTGTGGCCCAGGAAGGCAGTGGAGGATGGCCCAGGTCCTTGGGCCCTGCACCTGCATGGGAGACCGGGAAGAAGCACCTGGCTCTTGGCTTCAGATTGGCGTAGCTCCGGCCGTAGCAACCATTTGGGGGGTGAACCAACAGAAAGAAGACCTTTCTCTCTCTCTCTCTCACTGTCTAACTCTGTCAAATAAAAAAAAAATTAAAAAATAAAGAGATCTTTAAAAAACAAAAACAAAACCTGGGCATATTTACATTATTACCATATTCCTCACAGCTGCTAAAAACTGCGGTCACTCCTGGGGCCGGCCCTGTGGCATAGCAGGTAAAGCCGCTGCCTGCAGTGCCGGCATCCCACGCAAGCACCGTTTCCAGTTCTGGCTGCTCTACTTCCAATCAAGCTCTGTTATGACCTGGAAAAATGATAGATGTCCCCTGCATCCACATGGGACACCTGGGAGAAGCTCCAGGCTCACGGAGTCAGATCAGCCCAGCTCCAGCTTTTGTAGCCATTTAGGGAGTGAACCAGTGGAAGGAAAACGAATCTCTCTCGCTCTGCCTCTACCTCTCTGTAACTCTGCCTTTCAAATAAATAAATAAATCTTAAAATAAACAAATAAAAAAACTGCTGTCACTCCTGAACTCTGTAGTATTATCAGGTAGCGTATTTAATTCATATTTTTTTTTTTTTTTGACAGGCAGAGTGGATAGTGAGAGAAAGGTCTTCCTTTGCCGTTGGTTCACCCTCCAATGGCTGCCACGGCTGGCGCACTGCGCTGATCCGATGGCAGGAGCCAGGTGCTTCTCCTGGTCTCCCATGGGGTGCAGGGCCCAAGCACTTGGGCCATCCTCCACTGCCTTCCCGAGCCACAGCAGAGAGCTGGCCTGGAGGAGGGGCAACCGGGACAGAATCCGGCGCCCCGACCGGGACTAGAACCCGGTGTGCCGGTGCCGCAAGGCGGAGGATAAACCTAGTAAGCTGCGGCGCCGGCCTTTAATTCATCTTCTTTAATGAGGGGGAGCACTTGGCACAGTGGTTAAACACTTGGGGGTCTGCATACGGTATTGGATAGCCTGTGTTTGAGTCCCAGCTCTGCTTTGGATTCCAGCTTCCTGCTGGCACACACCATGGAAGGCAACAGGTGATAGCTCAAATACTTTAGTCCCCTGCCACCCAAGTAGGAGGCCAGACTGAATTATAATGGTCCTGGCTTTGGCCTAGCCCACTAGTGAGCCAGTGGATGGAAGATCTGTCTCTTTTTTGTTTACTCTCTGCCTTTCAAAAATTGAAAATACCTGTTTTTTCTTTAATGATACAACTATACAACCAAGATTTAGCTTTAGTGTGCAGAAATGATCAATTTATCAGCATTGTAACATTCTATAGTGTTGTTTTTTTAGTCCATAAGCCAAGGCTTAAGCACTTATATATAACCAACTAAAGCAGAGAGGATTCATGGAAAACCATCAGTTTTGAGACAAATTTTACAGGTTTTGAGAAACATATGCCACATTCAACTCAAATTGAGAATTCTATTGATTGAGATATTATGATAATTAAATTACTGTTATGTTGATATTCTAAGTAACAAAACTCAAGACTTTTCCCATGTGATAATTGGATAGTTGCCTACTCCTTCCACTGTATTGTTGTGTGTTTATAGAAGAAACAAAATCATTTATCTGTAAGACTGTGTATGGTTTGAAGACCTGCCACTTCTAATGTTTGTTAAGCAATTTCTGTAAGAACGAATTGGGCCTAATTTAAGCGTCTGACACTTAGGTAATTTAAAAGTTTTCAAATGCATATACCCTTTTATTAAGCAACTCCATTTATAGGAATTTTGAACAGCAAATTTACTTTTATTAATTTTATTACAAAAATATGTACAAACAATATGAGTGGACATGGGTGTCTCAGTTTAACGAGAAATATTTTGGTCTGTGGTCATTAAGTAGCTTTTGAATATTTTAAGTACACAGGACGCTTAAGAGGAGAAAAATCTCCACTTGCACTAGTACCTGGTTTCCTTTTACTGAGTACATTATGTCTGGTTTAAACAAAACAAAAAGAAACAAAAATATATATACATCAAAAGACAAAAAGCATGGTTTGAGACAACAGAGTAAACATCAGATATAGACTGAGCTACAAGGGAGATGTTAGAATTACCAAATTGGAGGTGGGAGGGGGGCTGGCACTGTGCCACAGCAGGTTAAAGCCCCAGCCTGCAGTGCCAGCATCCCATATGGGTGCCCAGTTCGAGTCCTGCTGCTCCACTTCCCATCCAGTTCCCTGCTAATGTGCCTAGGAAAGGACTGTAAGATGGCCCAAGTCCTTGGGCCCCTGCACATAAGTGGGAGACCCAGAAGAATCTCCTGGCTCCTGGCTTAGGGTCAGCTCAGCTCTGGCCACTGTAGCCATTTGAAGAGTGAACCAGTGGGTGGAAGACCCCTCTCTTTTTCTTTTTTTTTTTAAAGTGTAATTTATTTTTATTTTATTTTTTTGACAGGCAGAGTGGACAGTGAGAGAGAGACAGAGAGAAAGGTCTTCCTTTGCCGTTGGTTCACCCTCCAGTGGCCGCCGTGGCCAGCGCGCTGTAGCCAGCGCACCGCGCTGATCCGATGGCAGGAACCAGGTTATCCTGGTCTCCCATGGGGTGCAGGGCCCAAGGACTTGGGCCATCCTCCACTGCACTCCTGGGCCACAGCAGAGAGCTGGCCTGGAAGAGGGGCAACCAGGACTAGAACCCGGTGTGCCGGTGCTGCAAGGCGGAGGATTAGCCTAGTGAGCCGCGGCGCCGGCCAACCCCTCTCTTTTTCTGTCTCTACTTCTCTCTGTAACTCTGTCTAAAAATCTAAAAAAAAAAAATTTTTTAATTCTTAACTGGGAATGTTTTTTAAAAATAGTTACTATTTATTTTTTGAAAGGCAGAGCCACAGAGAGGCAGAATAAGAGAGAGGTCTTTCATCTGCTAGTTCACTCCCCAAATGGCCACAGTGGCTGGAGCTGAGCCCATCCAAAGCCAGGAGCCAGGAGCTTCTTCCAGGTCTCCCATGCAGGTGCAGGGGCCCAAAGACCTCAGCCATCTTCCTGTACTTTCCCAGGTCAAGCAGAGAGCTAGATTGGAAGTAGAGTAACAGGGACTAGAACTGGTGCCCATATGGGATGCCGGCACTGCAGGAGGAGGCTTTACCCACTATGCCACAGTGCCAGCCTCTACACTGGGAATTTAAGACAATTTTGATTCATGTGCCAGGGGCTCTGATGGGAAAAGTAGACAACATGCAAGAAGGGACCAGTAACACAAGTAAATGAAAACTCAAAAACAGAAGCTCACGTTGTGGTGGTGTAGTAGGTAAGCTTCTACTTGAGATGCCTCAATCTCAAAGCAGAGTGCCTAGATCAAGTTCTAGCTCCACTTTTAATACATCTTTGTGCTAATGCGCCTCCTAGGATGCAGCAAGTGGTGACTCAAGTACTTGGGTTCCTGCCACTCATATGGGAAACTCAGAGGGATTTCCTCGCTCCTTGTTTTGTCCTGACCTTTCCCCATCTGTTGCAAGCATTTGAGAGAGTGAACCAGCTGATGGAAAAATCTCATCTATCTATCTCTGTCTCTTTCTGCATGTGTCAATCTGCCTTTCAAACAAATAAATAGAATTAAAGTTTTGCTCATTCACTGATCACTGTTAAAATAACAATATACATTTTAAAGAAACTCAAAAGGAAGAATGCCTTTCTCAGACTCATCAGTAGATTAGACAAGAACAGATTCAATGAGCTTGAAGATTTCCAGAGAAACCTCAAAACTGAAAAGCAAAAGTAAAATTTAAAAAAAGTGATAGAACTGAATATGCAAATATTGTTAGACAATTACAAAAAGTTCTCATATTTAATGAGACTACCAGAAGGAACAAAAGAATATATTTGAAGAGAAAGGAGCAAAAGAAAATATTTGAAGCAGTAATGATTAAGGTTATATCCAAACTAATGACACATACAAAATGATAGATCCAGAAATCTCAGACACAGGGAACAGGATAAGAAACAAAAAAATCTATGCCTAGGCTTATGCTCAAACTTCAAAAAATCAAAGATAAAGATAAAATCGAAGCTGGGAAAAAGAATGAAGGAACAAAGAAAAATTATATTAAAGTTTAGAAACAATACAAACCAGAAGCGAGGAGCAACATTTGAAAGAAAAAAAAAAACAGGCTAAAAATTTGATAAAGACTATAATCTAAAATATAGAAGGCCCCCTTAAAATTCAGTTTAAAAAACTCTACTAAAGAATGTGCAGATCAAAAAAACATCCTAAAGACACACAGGTAGATGGTAAGTATGCATATGAAAGCATTTAAATTTAAATGTGTGTCATGAGGGAATCTAAATTAAAGGTAGAGATAAGAGACCATACTACATACCTATTAGAATGGGCAAAATCCAAAATTAATGACACCAAATGCTGGAAAGGGTGCAAAGCAGCAAGAACCCTCATTCATTGCAGTTGGAATTGCAAAATGCTACAACCACTTTAGAAGGCATTTTCTTACCAAGGCATACATGTACCATGTGATCCAGCAATCATGCTTCTTGGTATTTACCCAAATGAGTTCGAATCTTATGTGCCCTGCCAAAATACGTACATGAATGTTTACAACAGCTTTATTCATGATTGCCAAAACTTGGAAGCAAGGTGTCCTCCAGCAGATGAGTGAATAAACTTTAGTACATCCAACAGTGGAATGTTACTTAGCACTAAAAAGAAATGAACTATCAAGTACATCAGAAAAACAAAGCATATTGCTATGTCAAAGCCAATCCGAAGAGCTACATGCTGCAGATTTCAAGTATATGACATTCTGGAAAAGGCAAAGCCATGAAATAGTGAAAAAAAATAATCTATGGTTTATAGGAGGTAATGGGAAACAAAGGACAACTAGGTGGAGCATAAGAGACTTTTAGAGCAGTGAAACTATTCTGTATTATAAGTGGGGGTCTTTAAAGTTTCAAGAAAATATGTATTACAAAACAAACTATGCATGGACTTCAATGTTTTTGCACCACAATAAACGTATTTTTCTTCGGAAAATGTGAGAGGCACAGGGACAGAGAGAGTAGCTCCCATCCACTGGTTTACTCCACAAATGCCAGCAACAGCTGGGACTGAGCTGGGGCTGAAGCCAGGAACACAATTCAGGTCTCCTGCCAAACAGGTGGTAGGAACTCAGTAACTTGAGCCACCACCATTGCCTCCTAATATCGATATTAGCAAAACGCTGGAGTCAGAAGAAGGAGCTGATCATTCCATGTACACTCCAATATGGGACTAAGTGACCTTAACCTGTGGGTCTAACTTATCATTTAACTTTATTTTTCCATGGACTTTTTGAAGTACTCTTGTATTGGACATGTTATTAAACATTTGTCAAAACCATAGAAGGTCCAAAACAAAGAATGAAATCTAATGCAAAAGTATGGACTTTAATCAACGTGCCCAAATTGACTCATAAATTGTAACAAATGTATCACACGAATGCAAGATGTTGAGAAAATCATGCGTGGTGGGGCTGGGGAGTGGGGCAAATATCTGGGAACTCTGTATTTTCCCCTGAAACTGTTCAAATATAGCAAGCATTCTAAAACAAAACAAAATCACATTCTACATAACAAAATACTTAGTAAGTCTGTACTTGAGGTATGAGGAGACACTGAAGACGGTCAGAATTATTCAGACGCAAGCCAATCTGTTGTGGACTCCACCATATGGCCTTCCTGGTAGAGAGGGGGAGGTGGGACTTTCATAAACTTAGGTACCACTTTTTAGTGAAAAAGTGGCTTTTTTGTTAAATAGCGGGAAGGCAAAGAATTCTCCTTGTATCTGCTTCTTCTCAATTACTCTCAGATAAAAACAACACGAACACAGTTTAAGGTGGCATATTTTGGGGTGGCATATTCTGTTTTCTTACAGTGTGGTGTTTTTTCTCCCCCACTGACATTAATCTTCTCATCATCTTCTTATTCCTGTAAGACAAGTTAGAAAAGAACTGTAAAAAAATTGGTAGAGTAAGATAAACCGGTCCACACCAAATCATTGAAAATGCCAGTTGGGGAGCCAGCGCTGAGGTCTAGCTGGTTAAACCACCACTTATAGCACTGGCATCCCGTATGGATGCAGGTTCCAGTCCTAGATGCCCCACTTCTGATCCAGCTCCCAGCTAATGTGCCAGTGAAAGCAGTGGAAAAATACTCCAAGTGCTTGGACCCCTGCCGCCCATGTGGGAGACCCAGAAGATGCTCCTGGCTCCTGGCTTCAGTCTGGCCCAGTTCTAGCTGGGTTGCGGCCATTTGAGAAGTCAGCCAGTGGATGGAAGACCTCTCTCCCTCCCTCTCCTTTCTCTGTAACTCTAACTTTCAAATAAAAAAAAAAGGAAAAACAAGAAAATGCTGTAGGGACAGCATTTCAGTGAGGCAGATTCAGCTGCCACCTGCCACACCAGCATCCCGTATCACAGTGCCCTCTAATGTGCCTGGGAAGGCAGCAGACGGCCCAAGTACTTGGTCCCCTACCACCTAAGTGGGAGACCTGGATGGAATTCCAGGCTTCATCCTATCCATGGCCATTACAGACATTTCATAAGTGAACTAAAGAATGAAAGATTTCTTTGTTTTTCTCCATTTTTCTGTGTCATTCTGCCTTTCAAATAAATGAAATTAATTTTTAAGAAAGAGAGAGGGAGGGAGGAAGTGAAGGAGTGAGGAAGGAAGGAAGGAAGGAAGGGAGGGAGAATGGGAGAGAAGGAAGAAGAATCTCATTCTGGGACTTCTAAATAGTTTGCCCTGAGACCTAGGCATGGTGAGTTTAAAAGCTTTATGTGGGGGCTGGAGCTGTGGCATAGGGGGCTATGCCTCGGCCTGCAGTGCCAGCATCCCATATGGGTGCTGGTTTATGTCTTGGCTGCTCCTCTTCTGATCCAGCTCTCTTCGATGGCATGGGAAAGCAGAAGATGACCCAAGTGCTTGGGCCACTGCACTCGTGTGGAGACGTGGAAGAAGCTCTCGGCTCCTGGCTCCTCCCCTCAAACAAAATAAATCAAATCTTAAAAAAAATAAAAATAAAAAAAAATAAAGATAACATCTTGGGGGTCAGTACTGTGGCAAAGCTGGGTAAAGCCCTGGCCTGAAGCGCCGGCATCCTATACGGGCAACAGTTCAAGTCCCGGCTGCTCCTCTTCCAATCCAGCTCTCTTCTATGGCTTGGGAAAGCAGTAGAAAATGGCTCAAGTCCTTGGGCCCTTGCACCCACGTGAGAGACCCGGGGGAGGCTCCTGGCTCCTGAATTTGGATCAACTCAGCTCTGGTCATTGCAATCATTTGAGGAGTGAACCAGTGGATGGAAGACCTCTCTCTCTCTGGTTCTGCCTCTCTCTGTAACTCTGTCTTTCAAATAAATAAAAGTAAATCTTAAAAAAAAAAAAAAAAGATAATGTCTTGGAGCAGGCCATTGGCTCAGCAGTTAATATCCCATTTGGGACACTAGCATACCATATTGGAGTACCTGGGTTCAAGTTCTGGCTCCCTTACAATTCCAGCTTCCTGCTGATGCTCACCCTGGGAGGCAGTTGTAATGATGATTCATGTATCTGAGTTACTGCCACCCCCATAGTTAGAACCAATTTGATTCACTGTCTCATGGGCATCTGTGAACCAGTGAATGGGAGTCTGTCTCTCTGCCTTTCAAACAAAATAAATAAAAAGATAGTATCTTAGTCTCTTTTTTCTGTATATCTGCCTTTCAAAAAATACATACATATTTTTTAAAAAAAGATATTTAAAGGTTACCTCTTAGTACATTCAGGGCATAACATGTTGTCTTCTAGTCCTGGGGATGGAAAAGTACAGGCTGGTAACAGGAAGAGAGAAATCATCCTCTTGGGAGTATCAGGTACCCAGGTGTGGCCTGCACGGAACTGCAGGCGAACCCAGCCCGGTACATCTGCAGGGAGAAGTCTGCCGTGAACTACACACCACCTGACACCTGGGGAGGGAGAAGAAGCAAATGTCAACAACAAAGATCAAGATCGTACCTCAAGGGGCAGGCATGTGGCATAATGGTTAAGTCACCGCTTGGGAGACCCACATCCTGTATGGCAGTGTCTGTTTTAAGTCCCAGCTACTCTGCTTCCAATCCGCCTTCCTGCTAAGCACCCACTGGGAGACTGCAGGTCTCAATTGCCCAAGCAATTGAATCCCCACCACTCCTATGAAGACCCAGCTTGAGTTTTACGTTCCTTGGCCTGGCCTTTTCCCTGGCTATTGTAGGCATTCGAGGAATGAACCAGCAAATGATGTTTGACCATTTGTCTCTCTGTCTCTATGATTTTCAAATAAGGAAACCAAAAATAGGAGCCAGAGTGTGGTGCAGTGAGCTAAGTCATTGCTTGGGACGGGCATCCCATATCAGGGTGTCAGTTCACAGTCCCAGCTGCTCTGCCTCCATCCAGCTCCGTACTAATGTGCCTGGGAAAGCAGTGGATGGCCTGGCTCAGCCCTGGATGTTGTAGGGAGTGATTCAGCAAATGGAGATCTCTTTCTCGCTCTCCTTATCTCTCTGTTGCTCTGCCTTTCAAATACATTACATAAACAAACAAAAGAAAGAAACAAATCTGTGGGCCGGCGCTATGGCATAGGAGGCTGAGACCCCGCCTGCAGCCCCAGCATCCTATATGGGCACCGGTTCGTGTCCTGGATGCTCCTCTTATGATTCAGCTCTCTGCTATGGCCTGAGAAAGCAGTAGAGGATGGCCCAAGTCCTTGGGTCCCTGAACCCGTGTACCCAGAAGAAGCTCCTGGCTCTTGGCTTCAGGGCAGCTCAGCTCTGGCAGCTGTGGCCATTTGGGGAGTGAATTAGCAGATGGAAGACCTTTCTCTCTTGCCTCTCCCTTTCTGTCTGTAACTCTATTTCTCAAATACATAAATAAAATATTAAAAAAAAAAAAAAGAAAAAGAAACTTGCCCAAGGTCAAGTTTAAGTATGTAAGTATTACAGATGGGATTTTTTTTTTTTTAAGATTTATTATTTAGTTATCTATTTGAAAGACAGAGAGAGAGGCAGAGCCAGAGAGACAGAGGTCTTCCATCCACTGGTTCACTCCCCAAATGACTGCAGTGGCCAGAGCTGAGCTGATCCAAATTCAGGAGCCAGGAGCCTCCCCCAGGTCTCCCACACGGATGCAGGGGCCCAAGGATTTGGGCCATCTTCTACTGCTTTCCCAGTCCATAGCAGAGAGCTACACTGGAAAAGGAACAGCCAGAACTCGAACTGGTGCCCATATGGGATGCTGGCACTGCAGGAAACAGCTTTACCAGATACGCCACAGCGCCAGCCCCTACCAATGGGATTTAACACCAGCATTGTGACACTGGATGCTAAGTCACATACTGCTCAGTTATAGACAGAGCTTTCCATTTGTAGGCTCTGTGTTGGTGAACAAGTAAAACAAAAAATTCTTTTCATCAAAAACACCTATGGAGCAGAATCTTTAAAAAAAAAAAAAAAAGGATTTCTTTATTTAAACATCAGAATTACAGAGAGAGAGATCGAGATCTCCATCTGCTGGTTGGTTCATTCTCCAAATGGCCACAACAGCTGGGGTTGGGCCCTACTGAAGCCAGGAGCCAGGAGCTTCCCCCAGATTTCCCATGAGGGTACAGGGACCCAAGCACTTGGATCATTCTCTGCTACCTTCCCAGGCACACCAGCAGGGAGCCAGAAGGGAAGTGGAGCAGCAGGGACTTGAACCCGTACCCATATGTGATGCTGGCACTGCAGACAGTGGCTTAATCCACTATGCCACAGCACCAGCCCCTGGAACAGAATCTTACAATGAAACCTCAGCACAAATTCTGAACCTGAATAAGAGAGCAATTGTATATGACATTATTTTCATTCAAATCAATATTGAAATTATACTTTATAATCATTTTGATCAGCTTTTTTGAAGCTGTAGAAGTACACTGAGAAGTATACCACTTGTGAAAGAAATAAATTGCAACTTGTTTTTGTATTACTTTGTTCTGATTGTAAGTAAATTCCTGCCTTAGGAGGGTTCAAGGTTCATTTTCAAATAAATAAATACAATAAATCTTTTAAGAAAATGAAAATAAAACCTACAAAGGGAAAGGAGAATGTTTTGTGGAACTTTTTTGTGTGCGTGGCAATTTTAAGTTATAAGTTTTTAAAATCAGTACTTTTTCATGAAACAACTTGACCGAAAATCTGTTGCAGAATTTTGAGTTCCATTAAAGCAAAGTTTAGGGAATGCCTCTGTGGTGTAGCAGGTAAAGCTGCTGCCTGCCGCCCTGGCATCCCATATGGGCACCGGTTTGATTCTGGCTCCTCCAATTCTGATCCAGCTCCCTGCTAATACACCAGGGAACACAGTGGAAGATGACCCAAGTCCTTGGGCCCCTGCATCCACATGGGAGACCTGGATGAAGCTCCTGGCACCTGGCTTTGGTGGGTCCAGTCCTGGCCATTGCAGCCATCTGGGGAGTAAATCAGCAGTGGAAGACACCCCCTCCCGCTGCCTCTGCCTTGCCCTCTCTGTAACTCTGCCTTTAAAATAAATGAATAAATCTTTAAAAAAAGTTTAATAAGAAAAAAACTGTTCCACAACATAATCTCCCTGCAGATCACTCTGAATTTGTTCTCATATTCTGCTCACAAATCGATTGAAAGAGATGCATAAAAATGCAAACACAAGAACCCTATAATGTAACTTCACAAATTATATAGCACAGGGGATAATGATAGCTACCTTTTGTGGAATATTTGCATTGCATAAAAGATTATACCAGGGGCCAGTGCTGTGGTGCAGCGGGTTAATGCCCTGGCCTGAAGCACCGGCATCCCATATGGGCGCCGGTTCGAGTCCCCGCTGCTCCACTTCCTATCCAGCTCTCTGCTATGGCCTGGGAAAGCAGTAGAAGATGGCCCAAGTCCTTGGGCCCCTGCAACTGCCCCAAAAGAAGCTCCTGGCTTCTGGCTTCTGGCTTTGGATCGGCACAGCTCTGGCCATTGCGGCCAATTGGGGAGTAAACCAGTGGATGGAAGACCTCTCTGCTCTCCTCTCTCTGTATAACTCTGACTTTCAAAAAAATAAATAAATCTTAAATAAAAATATTATACCAATTGGTTGATGTATATTAATACATTTATTCATAAAGGTTTTTAATATTTATCTTTCATTTGCTTTTCTGATCGCAATAGCTCGTAATGTTAAATATAAGTTTCCCCATGGGCTAGTGCTGTGGCAAAGAAGGTTAATCTGCCTATAATGCCAACATCTCATATTGGAGTGCCAGTTTGAGTCCAGGCTGCTCCACTTCCAATCCAGCTTCCTACTAACATCTAGGAAAGCAGCAGATGATAGTCCAAGTGTTTGGGCCCCTGTCACCCATGTGGGAGAGAGAGATGGAATTCCTGGGTCCTGGCTTTGGGCTGGCCCAGCCCAGCTGTTGTGATCATTTGGGAAATGAACCAGCAAAGATCTCTTGATCTCTCTGTCTGTCTCTCTCTCCATGACTCTACTGCATTTCAAGTAAATAAAATAACTTTTAAAATATATATAATAAACCTTCCTCATGCCAAGACATAGGAACAGGAACTTTGACTTGAGATCATTTATTTACCTAACCACTACACTGTATTGCCTCAACTAGTGAAAACAGGCCAGAGTCTTTTTTTAACATTACAAGGAAGAGGCAGACGTCTGGCCTGCTGGTTAGATGTTTGGGATGCCCACATCCCATTATCAGAGTGCCTGGCTTTAAGTCCCAATCCCACTCCTGATTCAGCTTCCAGATAGTCTGTATATCAGGAGGCAGCAGGTGATGGCTCAAGTACTTGAGTACCTGCCACCTGCATGGGAGACCTGGACTGAGTCCCTGGTTGCTGGCTTCAGCACGCTCAGCCCTGCCCATTGTCAACACTGGGCGAATAAATCAACAGATCAAGCTCTCTCTCTCTCTCCCCCTCTCAAGTAAATAAATATACATTTTTTATTATAAAGAATAACCCAATTAAAGAAAGGAATATTTTCAAGAAAACAAGGAAAGTGATACAAACACCACGTGTCTGAAATTGAAAGGAGCAGTCACAGTGGGCTTCATTAACTGTAAGTAGGCAGTGTATGCAGAGTGGTGTCTCTCGGGCTAGACAATAAAACAATAAGAGACTGTGTGTTCGGCACAATATCTGCCACAGTTGGATATACTCCTAGACCACAGTAGATGCTTATTATATGCTAAATGAAGAGGAACATAAAATGATAAGTCCTGTGGGATGACACTAGCTCATTAAGGCTTATTGACGAAAGAGGCACCATCTTGAGGCAGCTCCTCAGGCAACAATTTCAGAGCTGGACAATCACTTCACGCAAGTTAGGAAAATAGATCCATTCTTTCCCTCACAGAATGGAGTACAGCTTAGGGAACATACAACAATTCAATTCTGGCTCCTAGTCTTCCCTTCAGCTGGGTTCCCTGTACGGTGACGAATGTGCCCCACAGAACCCGGCATTGTTGCTGAATGGGTTAAGCCGACACTGGCATCCGATTCGAGTTGGGGTTTGAGTCCTAGCTACTCCACTTCCAATCCAATCCTGCTAATGTATCTGGGAAAGCAGTAAGGGCAGCCCAAGTGCTTGGGCCCCTGACACCCATGTGAGAGATCAGGATGGAGTTCCAGGCTCCTGGTTTTGGCCTTGCCCAGCTACAGCTGTTATGGTCATTTAGGGAGTGAACTAGTAGATGAAAGAACTTGATCAATCTCTCTGGAACTCTATCTTTCAAATACATAAAATAAATCTTTAAATAAATATATGCCCTGCCACTCAAGTTGGCCCTGAGTTAGAGAGAATCTAGAACACTTCCAGGGATGAGAAGCATGGTGAGAAAAAAGGTTTCAAGCCACAGAGGATCTGACTTTCTGCTGGCCTAATATAGGATCTGTTGGACATGAAATAAAAAATGGCAAGGAGAAGACCAAGAGTTCAGGAGTTAGAGAAAGGCAGGTTACCCTAGCCTCAAGATTTCTTAAAGAACAGAGGTTCAGGGACCAGCACTGTGGTGCAGCAGGTTAAAGCCCCGGCCTGCAGTGCCGGTATCCCAATGGGCGCCGGTTCTAGTCCTAGCTGTGCCACTTCCTATCCAGCTCTCTGCTTTGGCCTGGGAAAGCAGTAGAAGATGGCCCAAGTCCTTGGGCTCCTTTACCCTTGTGGGAGACCCAGAAGAAGCTCCTGGCTCCTGACTTTGTGTTGGCTCAGCTCCTGCCATTGCAGCCATTTGGGGAGTGAACCTGAGATAAAAGACCACTCTCTCTGTTTCTACCTCTCTCTATAACTCTGTCTCTCAAATAAATAAAAATAAATCTTAAAAAAAAAAAAAAAAAAAAAAAAGGTCCCAAACCTTTTCATTATTGTCTGTTTTCATTATGCCACCTTAGGTATCTCATTTAAGTCAATCATTCCTTGAGATAGGTAGTTGTAATCTTTTTAATAGATCAGGATACCAAGGCTTACACTAAGGAACATGACAATATCACATATCTTAGTAACAGTAAAACAAGGATTTCAACTAAGATTTTTCTTCTTATTCATTATGTTATGAATATTTAAGGAAAGGAGAAAGAAGACCTCAATGTATAGCCAACCACATTATTAAATTATACTTTCTTCCCATTTTGAAATTTGATTACAAAGTGTCACCACTCAGTCACCATCCAAACAAAACTTGGCTATCCATCAGTAAAGGAGGAGGTATATCCTTCCCGAATTCAATTTCTAATCTACATGTATTTTAACTAACTCCATCACTTTGATCACCTCTCTGTCTTGAAGTCGCAATAGAATTGTCCTCTGGAATGGTATCCACACTTTAAGGTTGATCTTACCAGAGGCTTCCTGCAAAAAGGCTTCAACTGAAGTAGGAATGGAAGACGAATTCACAGCCTTGGGCTGACTGACTCTTGCAGCAATTCTTGCCCAAGATGCCAATGTGGCTTCCTGAGCTGAAGTTATCACTTCAACTATATTAGTTTCTTCCTCTCCATTGCTCCTAGTACAACTGTCCTGCAGCCTTGCTCTATTAGTACTTTTTCTTGGACATGACTGCATTTTGGCTTCTCGTGGTGTGTCAGGAACATCCTGCAAACAAAATTCATGAAGAGTATTCAATAAACTGCTATTAACATCAGGACTTTGTGTCAATTTTATCATTTTTTATACTGACCTGAACATGTATCAGTTGGGAAAGGTTTAGGGATATTGGTTCTTAAGCAGCAGAGTTGCTCAATTAGGAGACATTTTTGGTTGTTCAAATTGTGGGGTGGGGGTAGGGTTGCTGCTGCCATCTAGTGAGTAGAGACTAAGAATACTAAACATTTTACAATGCACAGAACCACTGCCAAAACGAACAAACAAAAAGTCAATAGTCCCAGTTCAGAAACCCTGGTTATTAAGAAATTCTACTTTACAGGTACAAAATGGATAAAAGTGGTAGCAGAGTGAACAACCTACAATGAGAACCACTTCTACACTGCAACCTCATTTCATCACTGACCTGTATTTGTTCAGGATACGCATGTCTCTGGAGCCTCAGATACACTTCTATTTTCTAAGGAAATTAAGAGTGAAACAAAAGTTAAAAGTTGACAAATTCTCATACTTAATCTGAGCAGAAAATATTCCCACCAGTGTACTAACCTGGCCATCTGTACTCAAATTAAGTTGTTGGCACCAGTTCCGCAAAGTGTTCCGAGACACCTTAGTAATTGGGGGCAAAATGGTTGGCAGGGGAAAAACTGCTTTTTTGCACTTAGGTTTTGGGGAAGCTTTGAATTGTTCGTTTGCTTGTGGAAAATCAACTAAAAGAGAACGGAACCAAAGTAGTAATAGTTTAATATTTTTTAGATTCTTTAAAATTTCACAAAGATTTTTATATTACCCACACCCAATTTATACATGACAAATCTTTTCTTCATATTATAAATGAGATAACTGATTCAAGGATTAAAGCACTTGCCCAAGATCACCTAGTCATTAAAATGGAAGACTGGGGACTTGAACCTATGTTTACACGATAAATTCCATGTTTTGTATACTGCATACAACAGTCTGTTTTCTATGGCCCTAAACAACCACTTGGAGAGAACATTATACTAAATTTCTCCCCTCAAATGTCTAGATTTCTGATCACGAAATATCAGCTCTTGCTACAGGAATCAGAGAAAGTACCTCCAAACTCTGCCTTCCTTAAGAGTGGTCTGCCTGTCAGCCTGCATCCTGCACCTCATGTCAGCTCACACTCTGCTTGGCTCTGATCTGCCACTATTTACTTCACCATGAAGTCCTCGTCATTGACCCCCCCAAAAATAAAATCACTCTAGAAATTCATATTTGATGCCTTTATGTAAAGCATGGAGAACAGATACAAAGGGTCATGATTTTAAGAACTACTGGCTGGTGCCAGCACTGTGGCATAGCAAGTAAAGCAGCCACCTGTGAAGCTAGCATCCCCTATAGGCACTGGTCCCTGCTACTCCACTTCTGATCCAGCTCCCTGCTAATGCGCCTGGAAAAGCAGCAGCAGATGGCCCAAGTGACTGGGCCCCTGCATCATGTGGGAGATCTGAAAGAATCTCCCAGCTCCTGCCATCAGCTTGGCTCGGCCCCTGGCCATTGCAGCCTTTTGGGGAGTGAAGCAGCAGACGAAAGACATCTCTCGGTCTCTCCCTCTCTTTCTGTATGTGTAACTCTTCCTTTCAAATAAATAAAATAAATCTTTTTTAAAAAGCTACTAGATACCTTTTAAAATTAATCTTCATAAGACGCAAGTATGCATTAATCCCATTTTTATAGAAGAGATTGATCGCCATGGGCTGGGATTCTAAACTCATGTCCAGCTGACTCATAAGAGTATGCCCTGCCCAAAGGGTTCTACATGCCTATTTGAGTCTTAGAAGAAAGGCAGAACATGCAGCTCAGCAAGGGAAAAGGAAGGGCATTTGAGAGATCTCTTAGCACAATCAAGGTGAGATTTAATGTGGGTATCATATACTCAGAGAATAAGGAAGAAAAATGTTATTCCTGGTCTTCCCAGAGTTGGAGTTGCTAAGTGAGCAATCCCTGTCCACATACCTTTATTGCTTTGCCAAGGCTTCTTAGATTTGATATCTGCAGGTTTGATATCTGCGGTTGAAGAAACACTTGGTTCCACTAGATGTTCTTTTTTAGGTTCCTCTACAACTGGAACCAATGTTAAAATCACATTGTCCTCATCTAATGCCTCCTTAAAGTAATTCTGGAAAGAGAAGAATCAATCACCAACTCTCATTTGATGCCACATAACTACTTACTTTCAAGGTACAATTAATGAATAAGAACCCAAGATGACAATATGAGGGTACTTAGAAAAACTCATGAAAAGATGCAATTAAAAAACAAATTTATTTTGGTTAAAAGAATCCATGTATAAAGAGGGGTCACGAAAATGCATATTATGAAAAAATTGTACAGACTTCAACTATTTTTTATAAAAAAAATAAATTTATCTTTGAGTTTTATTTTCCCAGGAACCTTCAGAAGTAGACTCCGTGGTGGAGAGAAGTTACTGAGATCCCTTGTGATTGATTGGCACACCCTTTATTAGATAAGGGAAACAATGAGGATGGGGCAAAAGTCAATTTACAAGAGGGTGATAAGGAAAGAGAAAATAGAAGGGTAGGGCTTGGGGGAATTATTTCCCTCCTGGTCTTCTCCCAATCAGCTAAACACAAAGTACTTTCATTTTATCTCTTAACTCTGTGTGGAATGTGTTGCTGCCTTCTCTTCTCTCACAAGATTCAAGCTCACTGGCACAAGCAATAAGCTGTTACCCCAGATGCATTCTGACTCCATTCCTGCTGCCCAGATTGCTCTCCTGCTGGCTGAAAATTCCTCAATGGCTTGCCACTGCTTTCCAGGTTAAAGAGGAAACTCAAATTAGCCCAGAAATTTGTGTAACCTACAAATTCCTGAAGTCTTGGGTCTTTGCCTGTCTCTCCAGCTCTTGAGCCCTGAGGGGAGAGTGTTTTACTCTGTAGCATTGCAGTAACTCTTGCAGCACAGAGTAGGCATTCAGTATTACTGTGATGATCTAATGAATGAAAAACCACGAGAAAAGCAAGCAGGTAGGAAGGAACTAACACTGACTGCTTTTCTATAGCACACAGGCAGCACGGCAGCTCTGGGTAGAACACCGGCAATTTGCTTTTTTTTTTCCTGTGTTACATCTGAGGAAACCAAGTTTCAGAAGTTAAACAATGCCATGGAGTGACATGTGCTGGAGTAAGGTTGTAAATTTAGCTTTTCCTCTAAAATCTGAGGGTGAACAGACTCCATCGCAGCCTAGGTTAACACTTCCAAACCTGACACCACGCCCCTCCTCCTACCCTCATTTAAATCTATTCAATGGCTCCTCATTCCTCGCAGACTCAGCTAGCCCGTAGTGATTTTTGCATTTGTATACCACTTCTTCAAGGCACTCCCCCCACACAGTCACGGTGGTCAGCTTCTAAAAAGCAGTGACATGATTTGTAGGTATTACTTCACTATGGAGAAAAGTGAACTTTAAAGCAGATAAGTAACTCTCCCACCGTCACACACCGAACATTGGCCAGTTCAGCAGACCCCCGACCCAGCCTGGGGAAGTGCGCCCACTAAATACACTTATGACACCTTAAATTAATTTCTTACCCTGCTCGCGTCACCGGAGCCTAGATTGGAAACCTATTTGGCACTAAGGCCAGCCAGGCTTGGTTTCTTCTGACTCCCGGAGGAAAGAACTGAATCGGTCACTTTATTTTTGCTTTTACCTGAATTACCCATTTTCACTTTCTTTTTACCTTAACCCTCCATTTCTTTATCATTTTTATCTTTCCCAGCTACAGCACATCTTGGTCTTTCCTGCAAAAAAAATCTTTTTCTTTGGACTAGGAACAGGAAACTTTACTTTTTACTCTCGCCCGGACACACAGCTACCATCACGTGGGAAAGAAAAGTTAACAATCTACTTGGAAAGAGGAGGTTACCAGACGGAGGTTTCTTAACATCCAGAAGTTAAGGTTTGCGGCGAAATACACACGAGATCTAGAAAGACTTTGAAAAGCAACTCTGTGACAAAATTAATAAGTAGAACAAAACTTACCATCTCGCTGCTGCTATAATGTGAGTCTGACATTTTCAGATCGGCCAGGAGAATGTAAAGATGGCAATGTTAAAGACATCAGCAGTTTACGTCTCTTGACCCGAGGGTTTCTGATTTCTCCTTTTTTAAGCAAATGTATCCTTTTACTTCCTGTTACCCAGCCCAGCTCTGTTTTCCTTTCTCCTCCGTTTTCCTTTCTCCCGGCTTCCCCTCCCTCATTATCTGACAATGTGATGATTTTATCAGTTGTATAACCTGTCTCGTCCAAAGTGAAGTTATAGTTCAATTATCGAGTAGTCTCGCTCCAAATCCTTTTCTAAGAAATTAGATTGTTAAGTAATAGTAGAATGCCTACTTAGCATTCTAACTATATGTGTTTATATGTCAAATAAATACAGTAGCTCTGATTAAAAAAATTAGATTTTTCTGTCTTTATTTCTTTAAGGTGATACTTGATAGAAAATTACAAGTGACAAACTCCTGCTCCAAGTTCCCATTGAAAGAACAGATTATTTTAGCACAGTTCTAGAACAATACAGGTGATAAACAATTGATCAAGGAGGGAATTTTTTAAGATTCACAAAATATGGGGAGGTATTTTATAACTGGTTTATTTCCACGGGTGTGTCATTTACTAGAAAATTCTATATTTAAATTGTAGACATTTACCAAATAATTTCAAAATCCAGTTTTCAATACAAAGATTAGGTACTATTATTGAGTCGGGGAGGGGTTGGGTGTTCAGAAGATGAGCAGCAAGGGGCAAAGCACTAAGGCAAGCAAAATGTGGAAGAACTACAAGGGCTTGGGAATGGCAGATGCATCAGATGATCAGTGAGCCATGGCTTCTGAAAAGAAACTGTCACTCCCAGACAACGTGGCAGCACTAGGATCAGTGCCCCTGGAGTGGGCTTACTCTGCATGTGGGAAAATGCTTTGGTTCCTTAGTCTGAGGACCTAGGGAGCCCTGGTCAGTTTAAGTTATTATAGAATGTGCTCAAAGCATAGTCCCAAAGGTTCAACTTCAGTCTATTGAGGGCCTAGCTGGAAATTGAAATTGTAAGGCTCCACCCAGACCTCTTGAATCAGATTCTTAAGGGTGGGACCCAGGAAATCTGTGCTTGGACAAGCCCTCTGGGTCATTCTTATGCTCCTGAAGTCTGGACGCATTGACCTGATGGCTTTAGAGATAGTGCCTATAATGGCTGGAATCCCAGCTCTTCCCTCCCACCACAGAAACTGCACAGCCCAAGGAGACTTGACTCCTGACTCCTGGCTTCAGATCAGCTCAGCTGCAGCCAGTGCCGCCATTTGGGGGATGAACCAGCAGACAGAAGATCTATCTCTTCCCTCTCTGTCTGTAACTCTACTTCTCAAATAAATAAATAAATCTTTTAAAAATTGTATTCAAAAACTCAGAGAAAAACTTTTCTATACCATAATTACAATATATTCTTCATATTTAAACATAAAAATAGGTATTTAATTTTATCAAACTATGCAAACAAGTGCCATGTTCAAATATTCAGCAATATTCAAAATTCCATTATCATATTTTTCTCTTCTCATATTTTTCTATTAACAGCCTCTTTAAACAAAAATCCAAATAAATTTTACACATGGTGATTAGAAAGTGCCTTGAGTTTTTTTTTTTTTTTTTAAGATGTATTTATTTATTTGAAAGCGTTACAGAGAGAGAAGAGAGAGATCTTCCATCTGGTAGTTCACTCCCCAAATGGTTGTTAACAGCCAGAGCTGAGCTGATCCGAAGCCAGGAGTTTCTACTGTCTCCCACGTGGTGCAGGGGCCCATGCTCTTGAGCCATCCTCCACTGCCTTCCCAGGCACATTAGCAGAGAGCTGGAGCAGAAGTGGAACAGCCAAGACTTGAACTGGTGTCAATAAGGGATGCTGGTGCCGAAGGCAGTGGTTTTACCCACTGAGTCATGGTGCTGGCCCCACGCCTTAAATTTTTTTAATCTGTTAATCCATTCTCCATCTCTTACTTTCCTTACAATTTTTTGTTATGGTTATTGTTGAAAGAGTATGTGAATTTCCCAATTTTCTATATAGATTTTGCTAATCTTACACAATCCTCCATTTAACTTATTCCTATAGTCTTTTTGTTTACTGTAAATTGGTTGATCAGAGGCAGTGCTTGCTGACTTCTTATTTCTAACAGGGACACTGGCAGTTCTTTACTCCTCATTCCCTATGCTTAGATTTCAGTTTCTTGAAGTGATACTAATAAAGACTGTTCCTGTCATTCTCTCACTCTTTTCCTTTATAGAAATCACTTGTATCTGTAATTCTGTATGTATTTGGAGTTTTACATTTCATTCCCTCTCCCCAGTTAGACAGCAGGCTCCAGAGAGCAATGGGCCACGCTGGGTCTCCAGAGCCTTGCATGGTGTCCAGCTCAGACTACTCAGTGGATGCTGGTTATTCACATTGTCCCGGCATCCACACTTCCCCTTCCTGCTCTCAGTTCCCTTTCGAGGTTGATTCCCTCTCCGTGCTCCTGCTAAGTGATGGTGGGAATGCACTCACAGACTGGTGGGACTCAGCTTTACTGCCTGGTTCATAAAAGACTCTCAATTAATTGCAACAAATGACTCTAAAATATATTACGCCGCCGATTTAATTTGGGGGCTTAGTATACTCTGAGAGCTAAAAAATTAAAAAGTAACCACTAAAAGGATTTTGAACTGTTTGAAAAAAAAAAAAAAAAAAAAAACTAGGCTGGGGTGGCTATTGTGCCAAAGCTGGTTAAATTGCTGCCTAAATCTCTAGCCATCCTTATGGGCACAGACTCATAGACCAGGCTGCTCTATTCCTATCTAGCCCTCTGCTAATGGCCTGGGAAAGCAGCTGAAAATGGTCCAAGTACTTTTGCCCCTGCACCTATGTGGAAGATCAAGAGAGAATTCTTTGCTCTTGGCTTTGGCCTGGTCCAGCCCCAGTTGCTATGGCCATTTAGGAAGTGAACCAGTGGATGGAAGACCTCTGTCTCTGTCTCTCTCTCTCTAACTCTTTCAAATAAATAAATAAATCTGAAGAACTAATAAAAAAATAAATCACTTAGACTGTAAACTGAGTTTTAAAAGAAAAAAATATGTTCTAATATTTATTCTAAGCATAGGAAATAGTTCTAAAACAATAAATGCATCACCTATTTCAAATATGTGATTTCTTTCCTATATTGTCAGTTAAATATTTACAAATGCATAGTATTTCTGATTTAGAGAAGTGTTTTCAAAATCTTTTCTTTATCAAAGGAACATGCTCTACAAAAGTAAATTTTTACAGATCACCAATATAAAAGAAAGTACTTCAAAAAGTTCCTGGAAAATGGAATTGAAAGTTAAATCTATTCTGATGCAAACATTTTAAAATCCATGTATGCATGTAAGCTGTCTTCACAAAGTTTATGGAGAATACATGCTATGAAAAAAAACTATGCATGGATTTGTATGTGTGTACACCTATGTGTACTGCTCCTTTAGTTCCATTTTTGCACAAACTTTTTGAAATACTCTCAATAGAATAAAGTTGAACAACTCCAGATGAGGGCAGAAGACAAAAACAAAAACATAAGGGATCTTATAGAACCCTGAGAAACAGTTTGGAAACTTGGCTTTATATTTCTACCTTGTGGAAGCCAGAGCTACTAGTCTTCAATTCCCTTAGGAAGAAAATAAAAGTGCACTGAAAGTTGTTTTTAACTTGGCCACATCTTCCAGTTCAAAAAATTCCCACTTACAAGGACTACTGAATTTATTTCTGCTTTAGAGTGGTAGCTACAGATCTTCACCTTCTTACTAAGAAGAAATGGATATTTTTGATTTTTGTTTTTCTTTTGAACACACCTCTTCTGTTTCAAAGAGCAACAGTTTCTCTTGGAAGAATCTGAAATCCAGAATCCAGATCTGATAGTGTCTGCTGTCTCTGTTCTCTGTAACACAAAGGGTGTGGTTAGGAGGGGAGCGTCGCAGCCAGGGGTAAATGACTGGGGGACTGCAATTTAGATGATCAGACAAGAAATTGATTTGACTGTAGATTCTCTAATAATAGTTGAAAAACATAAAGAACTCCCAGACTGGGGCCAGTATTGTGGCATAACTGGTTAAGTTGCTGCCGGCAATGCTAGCATCCCACATGGATGCAAATTCAGGTCTCAGTTGTTCCACCTGTGATCCAGCTCCCTGCTAATGCACCTGGGAAAGCAGAGGAAGATAGTCCAACTGTTTGAGCCCCTGCATCCACAAGGGAGACCTGGAAGAAGCTTCTGGCTCCTGCCTTCAGCCTGGCCCAGCCCCAGCTGTTTCAACCATTTAAGGAGTGAAATAGAAGATCTCTCTCTCTCTCTCTCTCTCTCTCTCTCTATATATATATATATATATATATATATATTTCTACCCCACCCCAACTCTCCCTTTCAAATAAATAAAATAAATCTTAAAGAGGGGGAGGGACGGTGCTGTGTCATAGTAGGCCAGGCACCTCTGCAGATTGTTAGCACTGTCCAACACGTATGTCTGCCATCTTTTTTTTTTATAGCCCCTTCCCACAAGTCAAATCATTATGTTGGACTGAGTTGAGTTAGTAGTCATGTAGGGCAATGAAGGCATAGAATTTAACAAACAAATACTCAGCTGAGTGTTATCTACATTTCACAATGCCTTCCCTACTTTTTACAACCCTACTGCATTCCGTCAGGGCTTTCTTCCACTTTGCAGAGCTTCTAATACACTTCTGCATTCTACTAAATTCTAGGCATTTTCTTACGTATGAACAAAATCAAAAGGCATTCTCTTTCAGGAATAATAAGAAGCCCTATGTCAAGGCTCAGCAAATGCTACCTCAAAGTATTTTTGAAAAAGAACTAAGGAAATAGGAAGGGTGTCAGAAGCAAGATCATGCTGATCCCCTTCCACCACCACTACACTGTGTAGTAAGAACTGGTCATAAGGAAATTCTCTGAGCTACCATCCATGAAGCTGTGTTACAAGACCCTTGTTCTAAAGGATTCTGCCTATACCTGTGGGTATAAGGGAGGAATGCTACCCAGAGAGGCCAAGAAGAGTCTCAACAGATAGGTCTTGCTAGGTGCCTGTCCTCAGTCTACTATCATTAGATTCCTTTTGTCCAATCACATTTCTACATAACTATCCATTCTTCATGAATCCTAACCATCCAATTAGATGGTTTTCTGAATCTTTGTGTCTTTATTTCTGATAATTGATGTGGATGAGGCAGGGAGCCAGGAAGAAATAAGAGCTAGGGGCAGAAGTTGTGGCGCAGCGGGTTAAGCTGCCGCCAGCATCCTGTTTGAGTTCCAGTTGATGTCCCAAATACTCCACTTCCATTCCAGCTCCCTGCTAATGCACCTGGGAAAGCTGTGGAAGATGGCCCAAATCTTTGGGCCCCTGCCACCATGTCAGAGACATGGATGAAGCTCCAGGCTCCTGACTTCTGCCTAGCCGGGATCATTACAGTCAACTGGGGAGTGAGCCAGAGGATGGAAGACCCCTCTCTCTCTCTCTCCATCTGTCCCCCTCTTTCTGTCACTCTGCCTTTCAAATAACTAACAAAGTAAATCTTTTTTAAAAAGATGTAGTTTAGGGGGCTGGTGCTGTGGCACAGTGGGTTAAAGCCCTGGCCCTTAGTGCTGGCATCCCATATGGGTGCCAGTTCTAATCCTGGCTGCTCCTCTTCTGATCCAGCTCTCTGTTATGGCCTGGGAAAGCAGTAGAAGATGGCCCAAGTCCTTGGGCCCCTGCACCCATGTGGGAGACCCAGAAGAAGCTCCTGGCTCCTGGCTTCGGATCAGCACAGCTCCAGCCATTGCGGCTATCTGGGGAGTGAAGCAGCAGATGAAGACCTCTCTCTCTCTCTCTCTCTCTGGGGACTGAAGCAGCGGATGAAGACCTCTCTCTCTACCTCTCTCTGTAATTCTGTCTTTCAAATAAATAAAATAAATCTTTAAGAAAAAAATAGAAGAAAAAAAGATGTAGTTTATTTATTTGAAAGGCAGAGTGATGGGGGCGGGGGAGAGAGATGGCTGGGGTTGGGCCAGGCCAAATCCAGGAGCTTCTTCCGGGTCTTCCCCGTGGGTGCATGGCCCCAAGCACTGAGGCTCTCCTCTGCTGCTTTCCTCAGAACATTAGCAGGAAGCTGGATCAGATTGGAGCAGCCAGGACTCAAACCTGCACCCATATGGGATGCTGGCACTGCACCAAGCAGCTTAACTCGCTATACCACAATGCCGGCCCCATAAATAAATCTTTAAAAAAAAAAAAAAAAAAAAGAGGACCTAAATGAAAGATCTCTGTGAGTGAGATCCCAGTAGAAAGAACGGGGCTATCAAAGAAGGAGGTGCCTTTCTCTGAAGGGAGGAGGGAACTTCCACTTTGACTATGACCTTGTCTAAGATCGAAGTCTGCGAACTCAAAAGGCTTCCATAGCCTTGGCAACTCATGACTAGAGCCCTGGGAGATTACTGACACCATAAACAAGAGTGTCAAATTGTTAAGTCAACAACAGGAGTCACTGTGTACTTACTCCTCATGTGGGATCTCTGTCCTTAATGTGTTGTCCAATGTGAAGTAATGCTATAACTAGTACTGAAACAGTATTTTACACTTTATGTTCTGTGTGGGTGCAAACTGATGAAATCTTTACTTAATATATACTAAATTGATCTTCTGTATATAAAGATAATTGAAAATGAATCTTGATGTGAATGGAATGGGAGAGGGAGTGGGAGATGGGAGGGGTGTGAGTGGGAGGGAAGTTTTTGAGGGGAAAGCCATTGTAATCCATAAACTATACTTTGGAAATTTATATTTACTAAATAAAAGTTTAAAAAAATTTTAAAAAAAGGGAAGAAGGAACTAAGGACTGTCAACACCAACAGAAAGCCGTGTGCACCACCCAAATCCCATTATCTTCCATGCTGAGTCAACATGGCTGAAGACTCAGAACGCCATCTCTTCCACAGGCAGCTAAATCTTTCCATCACTCCCCCGATGCCATGACACTCTCCTAGACCTCCCACATGTGCTGCAGCCCCACCCAATTCCTGTCTCCTTTGTATCTTTAATCAGACCCTGCCCTGAGCACCGCCCTTCTCCTGTAAAAAGGAGGACCCAGCCTGGGTGGGTGTGATTCTCTCCCCCTTGAAGTTGCCCACACTCACTCATATCCTTTTTCCTGGTAATCCTCTCTTGCGGGTACCTGCATTTATGCCTGTGTGTCTACTGTTCTTTCACCCTTCAATAAATCTTACTCCTCCGTTCCCTTCTATCTATATCTCCCAGCTGTAGTCTTAACATGGGAAGACAAGAAACTGGGCTAAGTCTCTGAGCCCACCCAGGTTTACAAATGTCTCAATATAATTTGAGGATCCCCATCCCCACAGCATAATGTCACACAAAACACGGACTAAATAAGTGTGCTATGTTTTTCTTTTGTTAATCTGCCTTTTATTATAGGAGTACAGGCTGTGATCTTTATGATGAATGAGGAAATGTACCAATACCCTTCTGCTCCCACATGTATCACATAAAAACACAATGCTAAATATCACTTTCTTCAAGTTATTCTATCCTGTTGGGCCTTTAAAAATGCTACTGTGGTTCTTATTCCTGTAACCAGAAAACCTATGAAAATCTCTGTAGGATTTTTTTTGTGTATGAAAAGTCACATGCTGATTCTAAATTTATATGTAAATAACTTTCAAAAGTCAATAGTAAAACAAATAACCTAATCAAAAATGGGGAAATACATTAACAGACACTCCACAAGACACTGAGGAGACATTTTTAATGAACTGCGTTCCTGTCTAAATATAAATGATGTTTAGGCTATCTTTCTATTTAATAAGGCTTTTTACCATTGATTAAATGAAGGAATGCATCTTTTTGAATAGATTTATTTTCTGTATTTAAAATTGGTTGTTCAATCAGAAAACTTAATTGTAGCTCAGATAGCACCTTTCTTAGGTTCTCTAATAATGACTGTCCTTTGTTTCTTGCCCATTTGGGTCTCATTCCTTTGTAATCATAACCTCTACTCTACCACCAATGGCTCTACTCCCAACCTGTGTGTACTCATGGCCCTCTCCCTGCCTTAATGTTGTATGATTGTTCAGAATTTCTCTACAGACAAACCCAGCTACCTGCAAAAGTGGCCTTTCTTCCGGTCTTGGCTGGAAACAGCTTTAAGCCACATCCATCAAACTGTCCCCACAAGGGTCCAGAGACCACCCCCCCCCCCATTTCCTCTCCTCTATAAAATCCTCTCATTACCTGGTTAATGCTACTCTTAGGATCATTGATTACTATTCTCACGCTGTCTACAGTGTCTGTTTAAGTGTTTACAGCAGGTGATAATGGATGGATCCAAGGCCTTCAGCAACCAGGCAGTAAACCAAATGCTGCTACAGGGATATACTCGGCTCCCCACCCAGGAGACAGCAGCTTGAGACATCGCCCCATGTCAGCAGGAAGTAGCTCTAAAGACAGATCATTGTCCCTCTACCCCTCCTGGACTTTGGGACTAAAGTAACCCCATACAAATCCTGCTTTATAAAAAAAGGGGGGAATGTTAGGAAATGGCGCAGTTTTAGCCAGGTGGCCCCAAGGCCCAGCTACCTGAGCCAGGCTCCACCCCCATCCTAATGGGATTCACTGCTCCAGCTTCCCTGCCTGCCCTCAGGCAAAGTTTTAAAAGGGCCTGTTCCTGAACAAGCGACCTCGTGGCCCTTCTCTCATGCGCTCTCGGTTCCTCTCTCTAGCCTCCTCCTCTGGGCTCTTGGCGCTCGCGCTCTCTCTCTCTCTCAATCTCGGCTCCTCTCTCTGCTCTCTTCTCTCCTTGCTAGCTCCTCTCCTCTCTGTTTCTCTCTTATACTCTCTCTCTCCCTTCGCCGCCCCTTCACTCCGTCTGTTGGGTATTCCCCAATAAACCCTTTCCCTTAAAAATAAAATAGGTTGTAATAATAAAGTTGGGTTCTGACTACAAAGAAAATAGGAGGACAAATTCACATCACAATAAGACACAACTATGCATCTGTTAGAACAGGTAAAATTGAAGACTGATCACACAAAGTGCTGGCAATTATGTAAAGCAACTGAATCTCACACTTTTGATGAAAATACCAAATAGCATAGTTGGTTTGGAAAAGTTTCTTCAGTCAAAGAAAAAAATTACAAATATTTGATTATTTAAAAATAATAATTGGCTTCTTTTTTTTTTTAAGATTTATTTATTTATTTGAAAGGCAGGATTACAGAAGCACAGAGGCAGAGAGAGAGAGAAGTCTTCCTTCAGCTGATTTACTCCTCAAATGGCTTCAATGGCCAGAGCTGGGCCATCCAAGCCAGGAGCCAGGAACTTCCAGGTCTCCCATGTGGGTGTAGGGGCCCAAGCACTTGGGCCATTTCCCACTGTTTTCCCAGGCTATAGCAGAGAGCTGGGTCAGAAGTGGAGCAGCTGGGACTTGAACCAGTGCCCATATGAGATGTGGACACTGCAAGTGGTAGCTTTACCAGCCATGCCACAGTGTAGGCCCCTATTTATATATACTAAAGGCAGAGTGACAGGGAGATAGGGAAAGGCAGAGAAAGAGATCTTCCATCTAATGATTGACTCCCCAAAAACCTGACAGCTTATACTGCCTTAGGCCAAAGTCAGGAGCAAGGAACTCCATCTGCGTCTTCCGTGTGGGTGGCAGGAACCCAAGCACTCAGGCCATCATGTACTGCTCTTAAAAGTGGAGCAGCCAGGACTTGAACAAGCACACTGATATGCAATGCTGGTGTCCTAACTGGTGGCTTAATTTGCTGAACCACATTGGCCAAGAAAATAGAACCTTGATTGTCGGGAGCTGGAGAATAATTTACTACCAACAAGGAAGAAGAAAGAATTTCCTATAGGAAGGAAATGGTCTACACCTTGTGATGGCACTAACATAACCACATGCATTTTTCAAAACTAATAGGATTATATATTAAAAGGGGTAACTTGTACAGTATGTAAATTATACTTCAATAAATCTAATGTTAGAGAGATTAAATAAATCCCAAAAGCCACACAGCAGCCATTGAAATGACTAATACACGGTAGGTAATTATGGATCACCTTTGTGCAGGAAAGTCAGAGACAATACATAATAGGAGCTAGAGCAATTACTCAATTACTCTTGGTCGAGTACCTAGTACTTTTCTAGTGCTATAATAATTATTTTGTTTTTGTTACTTTTTAAAATCCAGCAGCTTTGTGAGGGCGAGTTGTTGTCTTCATCTTAAAAATCAAATAAGGGGTGCTTGCTTCGGCAGCACATATACTAAAATTGGAATGATATAGAGAAGATTAGCATGGCCCCTGCCAAGGATGATATGCAAATTTGTGAAGAATTCTGTAGTTAAAAAAAAAATCAAATAAGGGGCATGCGTTGTGGTTCAGTGGTCAGGCCACCTCTTGCTAGGCCCACAAGCTGAGTCAGGTGGAGTCCTGCCTTCACTTACAATCCAGCTGCCTGCTAAGCACCCTGGAAAGGTGAGTGGGGGCCCAAGAACTTGGATCCCTGCCACTCATGTGGAGTTCTGGGTTGTTGGTTCTGGCCTAACCCACCCTATCGTTGGCATTTGGGGTTAATTAGCAGACAGATGATTTCTCTGTCACTCTGCCTTTCAAATAAATAAATAAGCAGCTCCAGCCATTGCGGCCATCTGGGGAATAAACCAGAGGATGGAGGACCTCTCTCTCTGCCCCTCCTTCTCTCTGTGTGTAACTCTGATTTTTTTTTAATTTATTTGAGAGGTAGAGTTACTGACAGTGAGAGAGAAATGTCTTCCTTCTGCTGATTCACTCCCCAAATGGCTGCAATGGCTGGAGCTGTGCCGATCCTAATCCAGGAGCCAGGTGCTTCTTCCCACTCTCCCATGTGAGTGCAGGGGCCAAAGTCCTTGGGCCATCTTCTACTGCTTTCCCAGGCCACAGCAGAGCTGGATTGGAAGAGGAACAGCCAGGACTAGAACCGGCGCTCATATGGGATGTTGATGCCGCAGGCGGAGGATTAACATACTGGGCCCCGGTGCTGGCCCCAACTCTGACTTTTATATAAATAAATAAATCTTAAAAAAAAAAAAGGTCGATGGTTGCCAGGCTGCAAAAAAAGAAAGGTTTTGGTAACAAGTTAACATATAAAGTGTTTTTATATTTAACATCAATTTTCTTGTGTACTTTGATAAGCATCACTACCAGCTTTCATTTGCAACACGGTTTGTGTCACTGGAAGAATTCTGTGATTGTTGAAGTGAATTGTTATAAATGCAAAGAGATGATAAAATATTAAAAAACATTTTCTAAAAAAATAGGTCGACAGTTCTCATAGTCTGTTATGTATCAGGCTCACATGCAGGGCTTAATAACCTTACATTGCTGGCTCCCATCACCATTGCTTCAGATTCAGAAGGTTTGAGGCAGAGCCCACAATTTTGCATTTCTAGCAAGTTTCAGGTTAATGTGGATCCTGCTGATTCGATGACTACATGAAAACCATTGCCACAGTTTATAAACCACCTATTCTTACATTATAATGAATAGGAAACAAGCAAAATGGTTATCAGAAATGTCATCTTATTTACTGTAGAGACATGGATTGTCCTCTTGTATGCTTCTCAGAAGGTTTTGATAAGAGATGATAGAGAATATAAAAGTGAACAAGAAATGCAGACTTGTGGCACAGCAGTTAAAGTAGCGCTTGGGACACCTGCATCTCATATGGGAGGGCCTGGGTCCAAGCCCCGGATCCACTCTAATTTCCGGCTTCCTGTTAATGAACACCCTGAGACAGTACATAGGATCACTGCCACCACTGGGGAGATTTACTCTTGAGTTCCTGGCTCCTGACTTCACTCTCATCCATCTCTGGCTTTGTGGGCATTTGGGGAATAAACTAGCACATGAGAGATCTCTGGTTCTCTGCCTTTCAAATAAATGAAATAAGAAAAAACAAAGTAGGGGGCGGTGTGGTGTTGTGGCTCAGTGGGTTAACACTCTGACCTGAAGCACCGACATCCCATATGGGTGCTGGTTTGAGTCCTGGCTGCTCCAATCCCAATCCAGCTCTCTGCTATGGCCTGGGATAGAAATAGGAGATGGCCTAAGTCCTTGGGCCCCTGCACCCATGTGGGAGACCCGGAAGAAGCTCCTGGCTCCTGACTTCAGATTGGCATAGCTCTAGCCGTTGCGGTCAATTGGGGAGTGAACCATAGGATGGAAGACCTCTCTCTCTCTGCCTCTCCTCTCTGTGTAACTCTGACTTTCAAATAGAGAAATACATCTTGAAAAAAAAAATTTAGAAAATGAACAAGGGGAAATGATAATTTATTGATAAGTATCCACTTGAGGCTCACCCTTTTCTTTACTTTTTGAGTTATCTCACCTTCAATACCTAGGCCATTACTGATGCCTGCCAATCTCACCTCCATTCCCACCACTCACCAGAGCCCAAATGAGCATCTTTCGCCAAAAACAAATGTTTCCTAACTGGTCTCAGAATACACAACATCTGTCCTCTGGCTGTTTCTCTGCATTTGAGGCAAGGAATCTTTTCAAAATACAAATTTGACATTTAAGCCCAGTCCCTTAACTCCTAATGGCTTCCCAATGCTTTTTAAGATAAAGACAAAACAAAAACCTTGCATTGTCTGGGACTCCATTGCTTTCCACTCTTGTTTGATAATCTATGTTCCCTGGCTCTGAACATATTGGCCTTCCAGTTTGCTATTCAGCTCAAATCTCCACAGGCCCTTCCTACAGGCTGTGATGTCCCTTTTCCTCATTGTTTTAAGTTCAATTCGTATTCTTCAGTCTAATGTTAGTCCAAGTTTCTCTCAGGGAAATTTTCTATTAGGTGATGGACTCACTTGAGAGAAATAACACCTTCAAGAACTATTTGCCTCCCCATGCCATTCTGGTCTAAATGAAAGATAATGACCAAGTTAGTCCTCATTAAGTCTTCCCATCCCAGTTCCTTCATTTTTGTGTCTCCCCTAGCTTCTTGTTTTCCCTCACTATAGGTAGTTCTATCCTTCAAACAATGTTATCTATCCTACAGATAAGAAATGGCAGTTGAAATAGTGATTGTACTACCATCTTTGGGCTTCATATAAAATAGTGAGGAGAGACAAACATTGCTGCCCAGAAGTAAAATTTGCTGAGGCCAGTTCTGTGGTGCAGTGTTTAACCAACTGCCTGCAGCGCTGGCATCCCACATGGCACTGCGCTCCACTTCCAATCCAGCTCCCTGCTAATGTGTCTGGAAAAGCTTCAGAAGCTGCCCCAGGTGTTTAGGCCTCTGATCCACCAGTTGGAGCCAGTTGGGGCTCCTGACTTCTGCCTGACCTAGACGTAGCCCCAGCTGTTGAGGCCATCTGGGGCATGAACTAGAGGATAGAAAATCTTTCTCTTTGTGTCGTCAGTCTGTCCTACAAATAAACACACAAATCTGTTTAGAAACATGAATTGTTTTTTTCATTCTAAACCTTTCATTCATTCGTTGTATAAGTATTCATTATGTACCAGCTATGCTTAACCATGCCAAACATGGGGTTTTTTAAAGATATATTGGAAACCAGAGTGTCCAAGAGGGATAAAATATCATGTTTCAAAAATGATCTTTTCACATATGAAAATATCTTTGCAAGTTTTACTTATAATCTTTTTTTTTTTTAAATATTTACTATAGAGGTGAGGCGCAGAGAGAGAGAGAGATAGGTCTTTCATTCGCTGGTTCACTCCCTAAATGTCCGCAACAAGACTGGGCCCATTGAATGCTAACAGCCAGAAGTTTCTGCCAGGACTCCCACTTGGTGCAGGGGCCCAAACACTTGGGACATTTTCTACTGCTTTCTCAGGTACATTAGCAGGGAGTTGGATCAGAAGTGGAACTGCTGGCACTTGAACCAGCACCCATATGGGATGCTGGAGTCGCAGGCAGGCAGAGGCTTAACTTGCTGCACTACAACACCGACACCTCAAATTTTTTTTATTAAGATTTATTTTATTTATTTGAAAGACAGAGATACAGAAAGAGGTAGAGACAGAGAGAGAGGTCTTTCATCTGCTGGTTCATTCCCCAGATGGTCGCAACAGCCGGAGCTGCGACGATCCAAAGCCAGGAGCCAGGAGCTTCTTCCAGGTCTCTCACACAGGTGCAGGGGCCCAAGGACTTGGGTCATCTTCTAGTGCATTCCCAGGCCACAGCAGAGAGCTCAATCCGAAGAGGAGCAGCTGGGACTAGAACTGGTGCTCATATGGGATGCGGTGCTTCAGGCCAGGGCTTTAACCTGCTGTGCCACAGCACTGGCTTCCCTCAAATTAATGTTTTACAAAGTTCTTGATTATGATAATTATTGGGGTTATATAGAACTATGTATATATTACAAATATTACAAAAAAAAAAAACCCAACTAGCTAATTAGATACAGAATAAACACATGTGTAACAACATTTAGGTTTGAATATTCTAAGGGGCCAGTGCTGTGGCATAGTGGGTAAACCTGCCACCTGCAGTACTGGCATCCCAAATGGGCTCTGGTTCGAGATCTGGCTTGCTCCACTTCTTTAAAAGATACACACATCTTAAGTGCATAGCTCTGTGATTTTTACATATAGATATGCTCAAGAAACTACTACCCAAACAAGGCTCACTTCATAATGTGAGTATATTAGGAGTAGACAAATTGTCTTAATGGTGAAGCATAATTTATTTTGTAAAGATATGCTTATTAGAAATGGGGAAAAGAGTACATCTGAGTATTAAGGTTACTTAATGACTGTAGAGAGATAGTTAGTGTCATCAGGACCTATTGCTTCCCTGTGATTAGACTCACATGACCAGTGATGTTTGACTTCCCGTTGCATCATGCCAAACACATTTCAATGTTTACCGTTCCTTCTGGTACTAGGTATACATAATTAAGATGCCAAATTTCAACTTTTATCTGTAAGCTCTAACTTGTTAACATACAGAAATTTATATGGAACATTTTTTGGTAAATTAATGCCACTGTAATAAATTGGAATTTAAAAATGTCCCTTTATCCCTCCTCAGGAGATGTGTCACATCCACCTTTGATTCCTGTCAAGGAGTTCACTGTTTTTCTTTTTTACAGACCCTTTTGCCTCTACCAATGATATCTTGCTAAACCTGTCTTCAGCTCAGTTACTTTAGAATCTGCTCATGGAGTCTTCCATTCCTTTCTGGAACCAAGGAAAATTTGAAGTTCTGGCTCCAGATTTCTATTGTTCCTATTATATTTCACATGTTGTTCACACCACACATAGCTGTGGGCCCAGACCTATCTGCATGGTTGTGACTTTAGCATTCAGATGGGGAATGAATGCAGATCTTCTCTGGGCTCCCCCACAGCAGCTCAATCATCATACCCTATCCTCCCTCTGCCATGGAACTCATCTGGGGCAAAAGTAATCGAATCCAATTATTTGGGGGTGGGCATTGTAGCATAGCAGGTGAAGCTGCTGCATGTGACGCCAGCATCCCACATGGGCACTGGCTAGAGTCTCGGATGCTTCACTCCTGTCCCACCTCCCTGCTAATGGCCTGGAAAAGCAGCAGAAGGTAGCACAAGTGCTTGAGCTGCTGCAACCACGAGACCCACAGAGGCTCCTAACTTCTGGTTTTATTTATTTATTTGAAGACAGAGTTACGGGGAGAGGGGGGCTGCGGAGAGAGACCTTCCATCCTCTGGTTCACTTTCCAGATGGCTAAAACAGCCAGAGCTGGGGCGTCCTGAAGCCAGGAACCAGGAGTTTCTTCTGGGTCTCCTACATGGGTGCAGGAGCCCAAGTACTTGAGCCATCATCCACTGTTTTCCCAGGTTCATTGTCAGGGAGCTGGATCAGAAGTGGAGCAGCCAGGACTTGAACCAATGCCCATATGCGACACTGGTGCTGTTAAGTAGTAGCTTTACCAGCTATGCCACAGTGCTGGCCCCAAATAATAAATAAATCCTTTTTAAAAAATAGATTTAATTATTTGTCTCTCTTCCTTCTGAAAGTATTCTGGGAGCACAGGAGGGAGAGGAGGAGTGGGGTCTGGAGAAAGAACACATCACATTAGCAGAATCAAGCAGCAGGGAACATTAGTAAATGACCTTGGGTATAACCAGACAACATAGCAGAACACGAGCTTTCTCCCCAAATGATGCATAATCCCTCAGAGAGCAAAGAAACTCGTTAGTCATGTTAACATGTATGAAATAATTCTGAATGCCAGGATGCACAGTGGCCATTGTTTACTGTCATCATACCTGACACATAGTAGGAAGTTGGCAGGTGAAAGCTAGAAAGAGATCTCTGTCCTGATCCTGACTCAGTTCTTTTGGCTCTTCTGTCACCACTTGGCCCCTGTCTGTTCTAGGCACTATTGCTCACACAAAGAGAGGGTGAAAGGGCTGAAGGGGATAAACAATCCTGTGAAACAAAACAGAATCTACAAGCTGGATTTAGTTTTCTAATGGAAAGCAGTTGAGTAACGCTGCATGCTAACCCAGACAATATGACGCATGATCTCAGTAGGCAGAATTACGAAGAGGCAACAGGTTGAGCTCAAGAGCCTATATGCTCTCGTGGACTATTTGCTGAATGGACAGGAAACCACTGCTTCAGCTATGAACTTCCTTTGCTGGTGACAGAGAAAAGAACCACAAGATGGGAGACCCCACAGGCCTGTTTGGAGTACACAAACACAAACGGACACAGTCTTGTCTTCCCATGATAGCAGGAAGTGCAGGATGATCTCCGGGTGCTTGATGCTCACAACCATCACAATGGACTCAGAGATGCCCCTGTTGAGGGTGTTGGTGGCCCAAGAGGTACCTTTGCAAAGTTGCTTGTAGTGACGTGACCAGTAGTTCTTGATGAGGTAGGTCTGTGAGGGGATGGGCCTTGAATTTACATCATCAGTCATGGCTATGGTTCCGCAGGCTCCCTACTCCTCAAGAACTTAGATGATGTCAAAGAAGGAAGCAGAAGCTGTAAATGTCCTTTAAATCCTGATATTCTAGTCCCATTGAAGGCTTTTTGATAAGATTTTATTCCTAGAAAGCAAACAAAATGTCTGTTTTTAAAAAAATGGGGACCAAGAAGAATGATCAAGTTGTATTCTTGGAAGAAACCCATGGTTTAGATAGAAGCAAGTTCATGTGTTCCATAGCACACTGGGTGACTGTCGTTCATAGCAGTATTCATATGAAGACTGGCCAGGCAAATCAAGCCTTTGAACTGTATAGGCAAGGGCCCAAAGACGATTTTTGTTATTTGCCTAGTGGCCCATGGAGGTTATTATTCAAAGTGACCTCAGTTCTATTGAACTTGCTTGGTATGCAGACTCTCAAGAGAACTGCAGCAGGGCAGGGCAGCCAAACTGGAGGAAAGACAAGCACACATTCACACAGTTGCCTCTGTGGGAGAAGGTAACTGTCAGATGCTGCCTCTCTTTCTCCAGGGACTGATGGAGAAGTCTAGACTAAGAGGGCACATTTACTTCTGGTTTCTCTTCTCTGTCAGCTGCCCTGAACCTCTAGTGTTCAGTAATCTGGAAACTAAAGTTGAGCCAACAGGTTGGCATGAAGCCCAGGATGGTTCCTGGACAAGTAAAGCAAGGTGGGGAGACAAGCCCTCTTCAGAGGGAGTCTGTTTTCTGTCGTTTCTCCATAGGTCTCTCATCCAAGTCACGCCCAAGGGCATAGTTAGTTTCTTACCTTCTGTACCACAAATGAATACAAAATCCCCTTTAGGAATCCTTTTGAGCATGTGGAGTGGGGCATGGGCATTGAGGCACAGCGGGCTAAGCCACTGCCTGTGATGCTGGTATCCCAGGTGGACACTGGTTTGTGTCCTGGGTGTTACATTTCCAATCAAGTTCCCTACTAACGGCCTGGGAAAGCAGCAGAAGATGGTTAAGTCCTTGGGGAGGAACCTCCTGGCTCTCCTTCTCTTTCTGTAACTGCCTTACAAATAATAAAACTTAAAAAAGAAAAAAATCTTTCAATGATCTATTACCCAGGGATAAAGAGCTGCCTGACTTCAAATTCCTTATCCCTTTCTCTACTCCTGGAAAAATGCTTCAAAATTTTCATATAAAAAAATAAAAAAATTTACTTACACATTTTTTATTAAAACCCTGTACAGATTTCTTTAATTAGTTCTTTGTAAAACTAAATATAAGGGCCTTCTGGAAAAAGACAGATACCTTCTTTACAGGCATATAAAAAATGTGATAACAGACAAAGTAGTGTACACAGTACTATGTAATGCATATATCAAATACAATACAATGTCTGCTCCTCTAGAATCATTTTCCAGGAATCTAAACGCCTTAGCTTTCACACATAAATGCTCTTTTTCTAGATGATAAGCTTACTTGAAAAATAATTTTCTTCAAATTTTTTTCTTGAGAAATTTAAAAAATTTTTTTTTTTAGTTTTTAAGATTCAATACAGTTCATAGAAACAAATCTAAGAATATAATGTTCCTTTTCTCCTTCTTTCCCTGCCATTCTCTCTCTCTCATCTTCTCCCATTCCCCCTTCTCTTTCAGTTTTGAGATAACATATCTTTATCTTCCAACTCTTTCTAGACAACTTAGGCTTGAAATACACAGCTAAGTAATATTAATTAAGAAAAGCAACAAGTAATTACCTGTGGACACACTCGGGGCACAGCATATTGTCCTCCAGGTATGGGGGTGGGAAATTACTTGCAGGAAGCAAGAAGAGTGCACTCACTCTTCCTTTTTTCTTCTCAGGAACCCAGGCTTGTCCTGCATGAAACTGCAGCTGAACCCAACCATGTGTGTTTGCAGGGAGACTTTTCCCATGGACCACACACCATCTGTCACCTGGGGAAAGGAAGATATTAAGTATGAACACATCAGGACCACCTGTTCACGCTCAAGACTGCATTATGGCCTATCACTCTGTATTCTACTGGATTTCTTAAATGCCAGCTGCAAGACATGAACCTATGAACCCCTCCCCACCTTCTCCTGTACCTTTATGCAAAACAGTTCCTCCCGAAACCTTAACAAGAACAAAAAAATCTAATTGGAAGAGGTTTAGTGCTGGTGGGCAAATGATAGACTAACTTAGAGCGATCTGGGAAGGACTGCGTGAAATAGGTCAAGCAGTTTATAGACATCTTTCATTGTACTTCCTCTAGGTCTTAACAATAGGAAGTTTATGGGGCCAGCACGGTGGTTAAGCTGCAGCTTGCAATGCCAGCATCCTGTATCAGAGTGCCAGTTTCAGTCCCAGTTGCTCTGCTTCTGATCAAGCTCCCTGCTAATGCTTGGGTAAGCAGCTGAGGATGGCCCAAATATTTTGGCCCCTGCCACCCACATGGGAGACCTGGATGGAGTTCCTGGCTTCTGCTTGGACCAGCCATGGCAGATTCTCTCTGTCACTCTGCCTTTCAAAGAAATAAAATTAATAAATCTTTACAAATAAAAAGTTTATATTAATTCAGTTTATAGTGAGCAAACTGAGGACTGTTTCAAAAGTTTGTTAATGTTACTCATGTAACAGACACCAGAAGATTCAGAGGATTTCAGACATTCTAGACTCGCTTTTAAATTCACTAAAGGAGGGGAAAGAAATGAAGCCAAACAGCTACTATCCTCTTTTTGTGCCACCGATAACTTAGAGCATAGTTTTCAGTGTGGTCCCCCAACCAGCATCCTCAGTATTGCCCGGGAAGTTGTCAGGTCTCGGGCTTACCGGAGGCCTCTGGGGGTGTTTCCACTGCCTTCCTCTTCCCAGCACCAGCGACAATTCTGGCCCAAGAGGCCAGCACAGCCTCTGGGGCAGAAGTTGTCACCTCAACTGTATTCACGTCCTCCAGGAGCACAGGTACGCCCTCCTGGAGTGGAGGAGCCACTTCAGGGGGGTCGGTCCCCGCGGAACACACTGTTTTCTTAGCACTTTCCTGGGATGTTTCCTCTTTGCCCACCTTTGATTTTATTTGTAAGGATGTTTTGATCTTGACCTCCTTTGCTGTGCTGGGAATAGCCTGTAAACAAGGCTAAAGAATAAAGTGCTATTAGAAGCGTGGCCTCTTGGGTGGGAAGAAGCTGGTCAAAGGTAAAATAGGTTAGATAGGAGAAGTTAAGTTAAAGAGATCTATTACAACATGGCGACTATAGCTAATAATAAGGCACTGAATTTTTGAAAATTGTTAATATTAGATTTACATGTTCTCGACAGAAATAAAGAATGTCAGGCAATGCATATTAATTAGCTTGATTTAGTCATTCTACAGTGTACACATAAGTTGCGTGCAATAAATATACAAAATTTTTATTATCAATTTAAAAAGCCTTTTTATTACTATTTGTAGCAATGAAAACTAGGAGTGGAGAGGGAGGAAAGGACTAAGACAGTTTTTCTCACTCTTTGGTGCTAAAATTAGCAATCAAGAGAAGAACTGAACCTTTTACTTTTCAATGCTCCAAAAAAAGAGAGAGAGAGAGAGAGAGAGAGAAAAGGCACTTACCTTCTGGTGTGGGTAAGCATATTCACATAGTCGCTTATACAGATCTATTTTCTAAAAGAGAATAATGAGTTAGTACTGAAAGCAGTGTTCCTACTCCTTTTCCCAGTGCCATGGTCTCACATGCTGGAAACTCACCGGGCCTTTAGTGCTTAACCTCAGCTTTTGACCCCAGGCCCGCAAAATGTCTCTGTGAACCAGGTCGATGGGTGGCAGATCTACAGGTAACGGAGGAATTGGTACCTTCTTCCGAGGTTTTGGGTTGCCATCACACTGTCCCCTTTCCTTAGGACAGGCAACTGAGGGAAAATGGTATAAAATTAACAGATTTTCTGTAGTTACAATCACTTTTAGTTCTCATGCTCCAATCCCCTAATGTACAGTTAAATTACTTGCCAAAGACCAGATAGCTTCCATGGAATAGAACTTCAAACCTAGGACCTGGCACCTCCAGATGCCAGCTTTACTTCAAAAGCTTCCCACTGCTCCCATTTGCTCCTCTGTGGACTGCCTAGTCGAGAGAATTCAGGTGGCCGCACTATACATTGCACTTCCATTCCAGGAGAATGACTTAAGTCTTAAGACTTTGAGTGCATAAACTCAGTAGTTACACATACAACCACAAACACTCGTAAATCTGCCAGCTGCCTCAGTCACGGCAGCACCCAGGTGGTTCTGAAATTTTTTTTTTAAAGATTTTATTTGGTGTTAAATTTTATGAGGGGACTTCAAGAAGTTCACTGAAAATCAGAATAAGGGAACTGTGTGGTGGCACAGCAGGTTAAGCCACTGCCTGTGATGCCCGCATATGGGAGTGCTGGTTAGAGTCCCAGCTGTTCTTAGACTTACGCAGCTTCCTGCAAATGTGGGAAAACAGCGGATCATGGCCCAAGTAGCTGGGCCCCTGGCACCCTTGTGGGAATCATGGGTAGAGTTCCAAGCTCCTTGTTTCAGTCTGCTCTAGCCCTGCCATTGTGACCATTTGGGGAGTAAATCACTAAACGGAAGATCTCTCTTCCCTCCCTCTCGCTGTAACTCTACCTTTCAAATAAATAAAATAAATCTTAAAAAAAGAAAAGAAAAGAAAAAGGAAGAAAAAACAATGATTAAGCAAATTAAAGGAAAAAAAAAAAAAAGAATGGATTTCAAACTGTCCCCCACACCTGAGAGTCTTAACTCCAAGCAGCAAGTTAAGGCAAATGATTATCAGAACCAAATGTGATGTGGGAATCTGAATGTAGAAACAGATCAGTTAAAGGCGGCCACAAGGCTTCAGTGAAGTGCAATTTTACATAGGCTTCAAAGGAAATCTCAGATTTGCAGGATTCAGGGGGCAAATTTCTTTCCTGCCTCTTCCATACATTCAGAAAAAATCCTCAGGTTTCTGAGGAAATGAGACCTGAGATTTGTAAACCTCTTACCTTTATCATCTTTCATAGATCTTTTTCGTTTGTTCCCCTCCTTTTCTGATGTTCTTGGTAAAGATGTGCTTGGTTGAGTTAAGGCCCACTGTTCTTCTTCCCTCGACCATCCTGTGGCGGTTCTCTGGGGATACAGAAGCTAGTCAGCAATTTCTTTGAGTTCAAACTAGAAGATAGCATACCTGCCCTAATACAACTCGCTGCTGAGGCACCAAGACAGTCACTGCACTGGGCTGCTGGGATGGATTCCCCTCTAGGGATCATCTTAATAACAGCTCCATTCATAAGATGGAAACAATGATGGGGAAATAGAAGGAAGCCAGTTTGAAAGTACAGGAGAACATTCAGATAAAAACGAAAGAAGCAGAAGAAAACAGGCTCAGTCCTGGGGGAAGAAGCCCTTACATCATCACTGTCTATATCCATCACCCCTCACGTGGAATTGCGCCCCCATTCCTTCATTCTTGACTATTTTCTAATAAATTATTTTCTCATATGGAAACCAGAGTTATGCTATGGAAAACTTCACCAGCTGATTGCTCTTAGGATTAATCTTAGTGAAGATAAATAAATGTCTTGAACATAATCTATCGGCCGGCCTCTTATCCTACCCCCATCTGAAGCTGCTGTTTCCCAAGCTCTCATTATAGAATTCTTGAGTTATCACTGTAACCTGAAGTTACATCCCTCAGCTCCTGCTCCCACTTCTATTTACATTCTTAAATCTTACTCCTCTTTCAGAGTCTCACTTTTAGTATCATTTCATTAAGAACCCTTTCTAGTCCTTCCAGACTAAATCACCTACAGGTCACCTCATTCCCTCCACTTGTCAAAAAAACATTTTATATTTGCTTGTATAATTTGATCAATGCCTGTGATTCCATTTGATTGTAGGCACAAAGGTAGGCTTCCCCTTTCATCATAGGCATTCAATAAATATTGGTTAACCGAATTAAAAATAACAAACAAGCAGTGGGAATAAAGCTGTTCCATACAAAGATACATGCCCCGGGCATTTGGCTGCACAGACTCCTCAGAGTCATTTGTTTAATCCTCCTAACAATCTTGCAACCACTTTATCTTTCAGTTGCCAGCAGCTGAGACCCAGAGGTTACACAATTAAGGACACAAAAGTTAAGGGCACATTTGGGGGTAGGGGGTGGAAGGGAGCATTATATTCTTAGAATTGTATCTATGAACTGTATTGCATCTGGTTAATTAATTTTTTAAAAGAAAAGCACGTTAGAGATAATTTAACGCCTAGGTAAATTTGTTCCTAAACCTGAATCCTTTTCTATCACCCTCAAAGTAGGAGTACAGGACAAATTTACATTTGCATGGCACTTTTACATCTCTATAGCAGTTTTACATCTGTATTCTAGTTGCATATTTGCATTACCTTTACTCCGAGCACTCTCTTTAGGGCACACAAAAGTCTTAAATTGAGAAGGCTAAAAATGACCTGGTTCCGGAAAGGGGCTTTGAGCATGCTCAGCTGTTTGGGTCACCGCGGCTCAGCGCCTCCGGAACAGGTCTCTAGGCCTCTCCTCCTTCATTGCCTCACGGCCCGAGAGCAGGTCTCACGGCGGAGCGTTCCGCAGGTCTAAGGACTCCGGGAACAGGAGAGGAATTCAGACCCAGCGCCTTTGCGTTCAGATCTGTGTTTACCCAAAGAAAATGAAGGCGGTTTGTCCCTTCCCAGACTCTGAAATTTTTCCCTTCACCGCCCCTTTCCTCCAATTGCCATCTCCTTCCAGCCACAGATTCTTCTCTGACAAGATAAGGTATCTCTTCAAAAATCAAAGAGGAATCCTCATTTCTTATTTGTCTCCTTGCTCCAGTATTGTAGGGTGTAAATATATCCAAGGATTTACATTTTTCTTTCTTAGGTATGAGGAGAAAATTCTAAGGCACATTGTTTCATTGTTTTCTTGTCAAGAGATCATGAGAGCTCAAAAGGGGAGAGAAACGGGAGGAGACCCACAAGCACAAGAAACAAACCCATTAACAACACTACACTTGATCTTAGTCAAAAAGCCGAGAAGCGATACAAACCCACCAAAACTCAACTTACCTCCTTGCCTCTAGAATTCTCCATACTTGGAAGACAAATGAAGTTGATAAAAAGAAAGGTCTTTTCACTTCCACGATGGTCCCTAGCCTAAGAGTGCTCTTCAGAGAGTCTCCGCCCACTTCCTGTTACCAAAGGTGCTCTTCTTTCTCCCTTCCCCTCTGTCCCCTCCTCCCTCACCATTTGTGAATGTTAAATCGTGTATTTGCTTATTCATGAGGTGATTAGCGCATAGTTGAATTACAAATGCCATTCCGGACCCTTTTCGGTCAACATTTAACTTTAATACAAGGTGTGCTTAACAAGACATTGGGAAGCTGAAAAATTCTTCAAGGTAACTCTAAGGGGGAAAAAAAAAAAAACCTGCTAGAGACTCCTGAAGAGAAGGTGACCAGGGATTTGACAAGGGAATTGTGGAAAAAATAGAGTGCAGGGGCCAGACCAGCTGCCTGAAGCAAGCTAAACTTCTTGTACCACTTACATTTTCTTTTCCTTTTTTTTTTTTTTTTTTAAAGTTTATCTATATTCGTCTGCAAGAAAGGCAGAGTTGGGGCTGGGGTTGTGCAGTAAGCTAGGCTGTTGTCTGAAAGGCTGACATCCAAATGAGTGCTGGTTTGTGTCCCAGCTGCTTCCTGTCCAGTTCCCTGCTAATGCTTCTTGGAAAGCTGTGGGAGATTGCCCAGGCCTCTGACACCCACTTGGTAGACTCAGATGGAGCCCTGGACTTCTGACTTCAGCCTGGACCAGCCATTTAAGGAGTGAACCAGTGGATGGAAGAGCTCTCTTCCGCTCCCTCTCTCTTTCCCCAATCTGATCCCCTCTCTCTGTAATTCTGCCTTTCAAATAAATAAATAAATAAATAAATAAATAAATATATTTTAAAAAGAAATGCAGATAGGCAGAGAGAGACATCTTCTGTAAGCTGGTTCACATCCCAAATGCCGGCAACAGCCAGGAGCCAGGAACTCCGTCCAGGTCTTCCACACGGGTACCGGAACCCCAGGACTTGAGCCATCTGCTGCTCCCAGAATGTATTGACAGGAAGCTGACTGGGAAATAGAACATCAGGAACTGGGGCCAGCACTGTGGCGTAGTGGGTTAATGCCCTGGCCTGAAGCACTGGCATCCCATATGAGTGTTGGTTTGAGACTCAGCTGCTCCACTTCCCATCCAGCTTTCTGCTATGGCCAGAGAAAGCAGTGGAAGATGGCCCAAGTCTTTGGGCCTCTGCACCCATGTGGGTGACCTGGAAGAAGCTCCTGACTCCTGGCTTCGGATGAGGAAAAAAAAATCAGGAACTCAAGCAGGTAATGGGATATGGGTTTCCCAAGTGACCTTGTTTCTAAAGATTTATTTATTTTACTCAAAAGTCACAGTTACACATAGAGAGGAGAGGCACAGAGAGAGAGAGAGAGAGAGAGGTCTTCCATCCAATGCTTCACTCCCCAGGTGGCTGCAAGGACCGGAGCTGCACTGATTCGAAGCCAGGAGCCAGGAGCCAGGAGCCAGGAGCCAGGAGCCAGGAGCTTTTCCGGGTCTCCACACAGGTGCAGTGGCCCCCCTCCACTGCTTTCCCAGGCCACAGCAGAGAGCTGGATCAGAAGTGGAGCAGCCGGGACTGCAGGCAGGGGCTTTACCTGCTCTGCCACAGCACAAGCCCCGGTTTTGCTTTTTTTAAAAGTCTATCCAGTGTTTTTTGTGTATCAAATTCCAGGTTTAAAAGATGTTGGTTAGGATTCCTATGTCTCATATTGGGAACCTCTGAGTTCAGTACCTGGTTCAACTCCTGATTAAAGTTAGTGCAGACCTCTGGAGGCATCATCACAGGGTGGCCCAAGTGATTGCATTCCTCCCATTCACATGTGAGACCAGCATTGAAATCCTGGCTCTGGGCTTCAGGGCCCCAGTTGTTGTGGGCCTTAGGAGAGTGAACCAGAAAGTAGGAGCACTGTCTTTTCTGCATTTCTCTCTCCTTGTCTCTTGGTCCCTTAAATAAATGGAAATAAAACACAATAAAATTCTCAACCATTATTGTTCCCCATTTTATAGATGACAAAAGTTGGATCAAACCTTATTGTTGACTTGTTTGATATCACAGTGAGCCCTTAGCCTACTGATTCCCCCAAATCAGTTCAAAATTCTCTCTTTAAACATAGGGTACGCATTGGGTGCAGCAGTTTAGACACAGTGTGGGATGTCTGTATCCACATTAATACACACAGGTTTGAATCCTCGCTGTGCTTCTGATTCCAGCTTCCTACTAATGCTCACTTTGGGAGGCAGCCTATTTGGGCCATTTTCCACTGCTTTTCCAGGAGCATTAGCAGGGAGCAGGATCAGAAGTGGAATAGCCGGGACTCAGAGCAGTGTCCATAAGGGATGCTGGCACTGCAGATGGCATCTTAATCTACTACGCCACAGCACTGGCTCCTCTGTGTCTATTTTTCAAATAAATGGAAAACAGAGGCCGGCATTGTGGCATAGTAAGCTAAGATTCCACCTGTGGCACCAGCATCCTATATGGGCACCAATTAGAGTCCTGGCTGCTCCGCTTCCAATGCAGCTCTCTGCTATGGACTGGGAAACCAATGGAAGATGGCCCAAGTGCTTAGGCCCCTGCACCCACATGAGAGACCTGGAGGAAGCTCCTGGCTTTGGATCAGCCCAGCTCCAGACATTATGGCCATTTAGGGAGCAAAAGAGCAGATGGAAAACCTTTCTCTCTGTCTCCCTCTCTCTATTGTAACTCTACCTCTCAAATAAATAAATAAAATATTTAAATTTTTTAAAAAAAGAAAAAAATTTTTAAGTAAAAAAGTTTGAAAATCCATGTCAGTTTATCAGGGATCAGAGATGTGAAGAGAAGGATTTCTTATGTTTAGAAACAGTGCAGGGCCAGCATTGTGGTGTAGTAGGTAAAGCCACTGTCTGCAATGCCAGCATCCCATATGGGTGCCGGTTCAAGTCCCGGCTGTTCCACTTATGATCCAGCTCTATGCTATGGCCTGGGAAAGCAGTAAATATGGCCCAAGTCCTTGGGTCCCTGCACCTGCGTGGGAGAACTGTAAGAGGTTCCTGTTCCTGCCTTCGGAACGGTACAGCTCTGGCATCAGGTGGGGAGTGAACCAGCGGATGGAAGACCTCTCTTTCTCTATGCCTCTGCCTCTCTGTAACTTTTTCTTTCAAAAATAAACAAACAAATAAATAAATTAAAAAAAAAAAAAGAAACAAGATTGCTTGTGGGATTCAGACATTTTTTGCCAGTTTGCAAATTCTATTTTGTCTTTATGTTGTTGCTGCTGCTGCTTTCTCTACATTTCACTGTTCTCCTAAAATGATGAAATGAGATGATCCTGGGAGGGTGTTTGGCTCAGTGATTAAGACACCATTTGAAAAGCTGATATCCAATATCAGAGAACCAAAATTCAAGTCCTGGTTCCACTGTCTATTCCTGCCCTGTGGTGATGAGTAGCATGGAGGCCATGGGTGACGGCTCCAGTGTCTAGGTCCCCGACAGCCACAAGGGGCACCTAGATTGAGTTTTGAGCTTCTGCTTGGCTCAGCCTGGCCATTGTGGGCATTTGGGGAGTGAATTAGTGGATGGAATACCTCTGTCTCTCTGCTTCTGTGCCTTTTGAATAACTACAAATGATTTAATTAATTTTAAAAAGAGAGGATTCCTGAATAAAGATGGTGATACTCTGCTCGCAAGTTGGAAATACACAGACAGAGGAAGGAAAGGGAACCCAAGAGTCGAGAAGGAAGCGCAGGCTGTGGACTAGGTGAGTGAGACCCCTGACACCCAGGAGGAAAGCACAGACTGTGTTTAGAGTTGCGATCATCCTGGGGAATCAAGGCAGGGATTTGGTTTATCAGTCCTTTACTCCCACCCTTAGATAGCAACCATTGAAGACTTACTTGTCAACGATCATGCGTAAAAAGCAAGATGGGAACGTCTTTCATTTCTCAGTGTACTTGGAGGTTGTATTGCTGAGTTCTGAACTAAGTAGAAACTGAGACACTGAGGTATCTATTCCTGGGCAAAGTACAAACTGCAACTCGAATATCAAGATATGTATTGTATATTGAGATTGTGATTTTTATGAATTCTTAGCACCACTGCCATTATGAAGAGCACAATTGTTAAAGAATTGCACTCATTATTAAAAAAATGGATTAGCTGACGTGCTATGTATGAAACAGGTCAATACAATTTAAATTTAAAATGTGCTTAATTGAAAATAGTATCGGGCCTGGTGTTGTGGCTCACTTGGTTAATCCTCCGCCTGTGGTGCAGGCATCCCATATGGGCGCTGGATTCTGTCCCAGTTGCTCCTCTTCCAGTCCAGCTCTGTGCTGTGGCCCGGGAAGGCAGTGGAGGATGGCCCAGGTGCTTGGGCCCTGCACCCGCATGGGAGACCAGGAGAAGCACCTGGCTATGGATCAGCGCGGCATGCTGGCCATAGCAGCCATTTGGGGGTGGGGGGTGAACCAATGGAAGGAAGACCTTTCTCTCTGTCTCTCTCTCTGTCTGTAACTCTACCTGTCAAATAAATAAATAAAAATCTTAGTATCTATAAGATTTTTTTTAAAAGTTATTTATTTATTTGAAAGGCAGAATTGCATAGAGGAGAGACACACAGGGAGATCTAACATCTACTGGTTCACTCTGCAAATAGTTACCACTGTCAGGGCTGGGCCAGGAGCTTTGCATCCATCTTAAATATACTTAACAGGGTATTATTCACTAAGTTAAATTCCACAAAGTCATCTGTCTGCAAAAGTTGGGTCCATATGTCTGCCATCTTGGGGAAGATTTTCTCCAGTGCCAAACTGAGGCAGCTCTTCAATTGCTTGTTGTCGAATAGATACATCTTCAGCTTCACAGAGGTCTAACCGCATTGATAGCAGAATGAGCCGATTCTGGAAAATGCTTAAAGAACTTTGGGATAAACTGAGCTGCTAATCGTTTTCCCTTAGTACCAGCTTTCACGCCATCCAGTATCACTTGATAGGCATCTTTATGCTGGCCCACTTACCCCGTGACATCAGCTAGGATATCATAGTTGCAGTAAAGCTCCTCTACCATCTGCATGGTGAGCGACAAGCCCAGGGCCTGCTCTAGTCGTCG